GCCGTCGAGTCGGTTCCGACCCATAGCGACCCTGTACAGGGTTTCCGAGGGTGTAAATCTTTACGGGAGTAGAAAGCCTCATCTTTCTCCCTCGGAGCGGCTGGTAGTTTCGAACCGCTGATCTTAAGGTTCGCAGCCCGATTCGTAACCACTACGCTACCAGAGCTCCTTAGATCCCTGATAAGTCACCAGTTTCATCCCTAGCCTCTCCCAGCAGAAGTGCCTATGCTTCTGCCTCTATTTTCACCAACAGTTCCCTCACACTTGACCCTCTCAGGCCACCCCTTCTAGGAATCCACCCTGGACTGGAGAAGCAGTTTCATCTGAGGAGTTATATAGAGTTGTCTAATCCTTCGATTCCCAATATCCCTTCAGCCCACTCAGAACGGTTTTTTTTTATCCCCATCACTCATTAAAAATGTTCTTGTCAAGGTCACCCTTCTATCTTGCCACCCCCTTCTCCACTCTGCAACACACATACCTCAGCAGCATTAAGTACCCTCTGTTCTCTTGCAGCTTTTACTTACCTCCTCCCACCTCTCCCTCTGACTTCCCTGGAAGTGTTGACCACCCCAGGGCTCTTTCCCTAGATCCGTGGTGAAATGTCAAATTTCATGTTTCCAGTCTCTGAGATCCTGATTTCAACACTTAAACATACCACAGCCTACTTACGTTCCCCTCCCCCCACACACAAAAAAAACCTGGGTGGCTAATAAACAATTTAAATGAAGCACACAAGAATGGAGTTCCTTATCCACGATATTGTACAGCATACAGGGGGTAAATTCAGGAAACTTTGTTGGCTATAGCCAAACACCTTGAGAAAATGAGTCACTGAACTTTGAGACTTAGGACCAGTCTTGGAGGACATTTAGATCAATTGGCATAACATAGTCCACAAAGACAACGTTCTACTTTGATGAGTAGCCACTGGGGTCTTAAAAGTTTGCAGTTGGCCATCTAAGATGCAACTATTGGTGTCTCCTGGTCCAGAGCAAAGAAGAGTGAGGAAAATCAAAGACTCAAGGAATCACATGAGCCACAGCCAGAATAAACAGATGGTGTTAGTTCAGTACCACTACTTACCACTCTGATCAGAATCACAATGGAAGATACTGGAAGAAGAGAAAGAAAAAAATGTAGAATGAAATTCAAAATAGTAAAAAAGACCAGACTTGCTAATCTGATAAAGACTGGTGAAACCCCCAAGACTGTGGCCCTTAGACACCCTTCAAGTCTGGTATTGAACCCACCCTCAAGGATTAATTTACAGCCAAACAATAGGCAATCCTGTAAAGTGAAAAATAACACCAGGGAGGAATGTACTTCTTGGTACAATTAACCATAGGAGACAGGGCAGTATTTTGCCCCAAAACAAAGCTCAGAAGGCAGGAAGGGGCAGCAAAGAAGGACAAAAGGAAAGCGGGAGGAAGCAGGGCAGTGGAATGAGTGTTGTTATGTCGAGGGGACTGCAAACAATGTGAGGAAACAAACTGTATAAATTGTTGAATGGAAAAACTAATTCGCGTTGTAAACTTTCACCCAAACTACAATGTTGTTGTTGCTAAATGCTGTTGAGTTGCTTCCTAATCATAGCGACCCTGTATGGAGTTTCTAAGGAGTGGCTGGTGGGCTTGAACCACCAACCTTTTGGTTAGCAGTCCAGTACTTATAAAGCTACAATAAAAAGTTAAAAAAGAAGAAAAAAATGGAGTTCCTGAGTCCACTATCCACTCAGTTGTTTCAGACCCAGGAGTCACCCCTTATTGGCTGTTGTCTTCCATATACAATCCACAAAGCAAGTCTTGGGTTTACCTTCAAAATATGGCCCTCTTGAACCTCCACTCATCTTACCCCAGCCTGGTCCCTCATTTGCCCCACTCCCCATAATCCATTCTCCATCTCTAATGGCTTCCTATACTACTTAGGAATAAATAAACCTTCCAAACTCTCTGCTATGGCTCTGGGGTGTGTGTGTGTACAACCTGGCCCCCACCTATTCCTTCACTTCATCTTCCTCCTGCCCTTGAGGATGGCTCCAGTCACACTGGCTGCCATCTTCCTGGATCACAAGCTCCCGACTGTCTCAAAGCCTTGACAGTGTGCTCTCAGGCTTATCCTTGGCTCTTACCTGGCTTAGCTCATCCTTCAGCTCACTGCCTCCAAGAAGCCTTTCCTGATCACACCATTTAAGTAGACTCCAGCTTTCCTTCCACCATGCACACTACTCATGGCAGACTTAAGTGCTTCTTCACTTGCTTCCCTATTTACCTTCTGAGCCCCGTCTCCCTGGCAGAACCCGAACTCCCTGAGGAGCAGGGCTGTGTGTGTTTGCGCTTCATCAGAGTAGCACCAAATAAGTGCCCTATAAACCTGAGGCGTGTTGAGTGCTTGGTGGGCATCATGTATATTTCCCAAAGTTCAAACCAATGATGGTGACCTCCTTTTCAACTTCCACCCTTCACATCTGCTGTTTCCCAGCTGTGCCTATGAATCTTCTCTGCCTCCTTCCTTTCACTTGAGACTCCTCAAATGTCACCAAGTCCTTTTATTTTTACCTCTGTCTTGTCCCCATTGCCCTCACCTTCCTTGGATCCCATGGCAAGTGTAGCTTCCGATATTTATGTAGCCAGCAGCTTTTCCTCAAGTTACTCATGTGTTTCAAGCTTCTTGTGGTTCTGGCTGCCCAATCAAGGCAACTTCTAAATGGTCTTCTCAGCCCCTCATTTCCTTTGGTCAACTACAGCCCCCCCCCCCCCCCCTCACCATTCCAGAGAACAAAGATAGTGCTGCCAGGTCTAGCCCTCTGTGAATGAAGTCTTGTCATCTGTATGGTTAATTATTTGTAGGAGCCTCATACATAGTTCTGGACTAGAGCATTGGACTAACTCCCTGGCACTCCCAAATAGATTATATGGTCCCCCAACAGCCTGCCAATCTCCTGCCCACTAAGCCTTTGCTTAGACACTCTCACCTGGAATGCCACTCTTAGCCTTTGTTTTTGATCTTTGGGAGTAGCCCTGAGATTGGGCATACAGGTACCGCTGGTGGCAAATGAGGAAGGGAACATGGCCTCCATAGCTTCCCCTTTCTCCAGGTAGGCATCTCTAAGCACCACAGGGTGGGAGAGTGACCCTCCGGTGCATAACCACCATGTCAATAAGTTTTCTCCCAGTTGCCATCTACCCGCTACTGAGAGAAAGATCCAGGCTCCTTCAATAGAGCAGCCAAAAGGGCAAGAATGTCTGTATGGTGGAGGACCAACAAGGTCCTCCCCTGTGGTACCCATCCATACTCACAGTTAAAATCCAGCACTGGGCAGGGGTCTAACTGCTCTTGGCTCTCTGGTTCTACTTGCCAGCAGACTGTTGGGTGGGAAGGTTCCGTGGGGACTGCCCGACTGTCCTCATGTAAGGCCTTTCAGCCTTCTGACCTGGGGTTCTAGCTCCAAAGCCCTGCCCTTAACTCTCACCCAGCTGTTCAGACAATAAATCTCTGGCAGTCAGATACAACCAAACAATGACCTACTCTCCCCATTCCACTTCACCCCCTCCCACCCACACACACACCAGAGAGGCTTGTCCACACCCCACTCTGTGCCTGAAGATCCCCAAAGGTTTCCTTTAGGATCCCCCAAGGCAATGCATATCATATAAGAACTCACACCTTCACAACTTTCTGAAATGTAGATCCCTTGACCTTAGGCCCAGGGAGTCTCATTGAAGAGATGTAAGCAGGGGGCCAGAAATCTATATTCCCAGAGAATGCTGAAACAGCAAGTCTGGGACAAATGACCAAAAGGCTGGCCCCAAACTTGCCCACTTTTTCTACTGAAGCCCACACATCTGTCACCTGAAGACTTTGACAGCTGGTGACAGTAAGGATGTCACTAAGCAGTCCTCTGGGCAGCCTGTCACTGTCCTGGCCATACTTGCCCTCCTCAGTCATTCTGTGTACCCCATGTCCTCTCTACACATACCATTCTCATTGGTCCCCTGTGTCAAGGTGCTCCCTAAGGACCTGTCCTGGAGTTTCCAACACAACATCCTGGGCAAACACTGCCCAAGGCCCACCTCAGAACACCTTTCCCACAAACTACAGTTCCTTCTTTATGCCCAACGCAAGAAGCAGGATGAACTGGGTAGAGAGGTAAGACAAGGCCGAGGGAAACACTCGAAGGCAAGACCTCCAGCCTCTGAGTTTAGATCATTTTTATCTGTAAAACAAAGAGGTTGAAATTGAGTATTTTTAGCCAAAAAATTCCATGAATTTTTAAAATCCCAAACTGAAATAATCTTCCTTATCAAGTCATCTTTCTCTTTCCTGTTGTCTTTATTATCTGCACAGCGATCCAGGCATGACATTTCAGAGTAGAGATATAAACTTTCTTAAAAATTTGAAGCCACAGGAGGTAAAAAAAAAAAAAAAAAAGGTATGAGAAAAGCAGTAGTAATTGTAGGAGAAATATGAAACTATAATCACACTTTCTTTGGTTAGCATTTTAAAAACAGATTTACAGCCCCTTAGTAGTTTGACATAAAATTTATTAACTCTGATGCAATTTTTTTTTAACCAGGTGACTTTAGCCAGTCCATTTACCAATGGAGAAGGCCAGAGAGAAACAGGAATTAGTATTTGTGGATAAACAAAACATATTTTCCTTGAAATTTGTAGAGAATTGAACCAAAAAAAGTTTTGGAATTGTTTCAGAATGTTGGGTTGTTTTCCACTTGGGCTTTTTCCACTTCTATCTCAAGGCCATCTCCTTCACTCTTGTCTATTAGTCATCTCTTGTCAATTGTTCCTTCAATTTGCTGCTAGTTGGTTCACTTCTCACCTCCACCCAATGGGGGTTGTTGTTGTGAAATGCCATCCAGTTGGTTCTGACCCACAGTGACCCTGTATAGGGTTTCTGAGGAGCAGCTGGTGAGCATGAACTGCTGACCTTGCAGTTCAAATGGCTTTGCAGTCTGGTGCGTTAACCCACAGTGCCACATGGACATGGGGGTGGGGGGATGTAGCAGCCTCAAACAGGGCAGTCTATTCCCCATATTACAGTCTACAAGATCTTTAATAATAAGGTTCTACAGCAAGCTCCCATGGAATATCTGGATTGGTGATCCAGGACTGGGCTGAGGGATTAGAAAACAAAACCATGGCTTTTTCTCAATGTGCAAGGGGATAAATTATTTCTGTGGACAGAATATTTTCTTTCAATTACATTTTTTTGGGTGTAATTGAGTGGTTAGTATGAAATAAGCAGCTCTGGTGGTGCAGTGGGTTAACTGGTGCTAACCCAAAGGTCACCAGTTGGAACCTACCAGCCATTCTGTGGGAGAAAAATGAGGCTGTCTGCTTCCGTAAAGATTTACTGTCTGTTAACAGAAAAGCTCAGGAACAGTCTGCTGGTACTGTGCAGTGCTGGTCTAGGGGTGCAAATACTTCTTAAAGAGACCTAGCTCCTAAATGGGCCTTTGGAACATATCGAAGGGCTCAGGAACCCTTGGTCAAGCTAACAATCACATTAGTCCATTTTTCTGACCAGACCACTGTGACTGGCTCAGCTATGGGATAGGCTTGCTCTTACCTATAGGCAGTTGGGGCTGCTGGTGGCATAGAGGAAGCTCACTGCCAGGAAAGTGAGGCCACCAAGAGTAGAGAGAATCCTGGTGACATTTGAGCCCCTGGGCCCAGACAAACTTGAAGCTGGTACCATCAGACTGTCTCCAAGCTGTTCTCTCTTAGTCATGCTTGCAGCATGACCTGTTTTCCTGTTTTCTCTGGGCATGTCTGTTTCCTAGATTATCTGATAGAAATGAATACATCAGTATTTCTTCAAGTTCCTTAGAGATCCCTGGAAGTTTCAGTAATTCTACTTGAGACTCTCTACTCTAAATCACTTCCCACCCACTACTCCACGTATTCCTGAGCCTGGACTTGCAGCTCTGTCATGAGGTCCCTCAGGTTTCAGTAGTTCCTGCCCCTACTGTGGACTCCAGCACACAGTGGGGGTGGGCCGGGCTTCCAAATTCTCCACAACCTCAAAGTTCAGCTAGCTCCAGCCCTTCACCACTTATTGTCTCCCCCACCTCCCTGGCAGCTCTTGAGTCTTTCTCAGACCTGCAGGTTTGGGGTTAGTGCCAAGGTTCAAACCTGCAACCTGCTAAATGAAGAGGCTTGCGGAGGCTGGAGAAAGGGACTTCGAGGAGGCTGACACAGTTGCTGCTCCCCAATTCAAGGAAACCCCTTCACATGCTGTTTTACATTTGGTTTGCACTTGACTGATCAAGGAGAAACTGCCCACCCCCAAGTCCACCAACCTTCACCATCATCTGAAGGAGGCACCCTCTATGGGCTGCCCCTTCCCCATTGGGCTTGCTCCCAAATCTGCCCTTGTCTGAGAGCCCAGCATCTTGGATATGACAAGGGCAGGTTTTCTATGCATCCTCTGCCTTGAGGAAAGTGCCTCCTCCGGAATCAACCTTCTTCCTTTATGGCAGCTGACCCTCCTCAAGCCTGGGGCTGGTAGGGTGGCAGTGTGCTAAGGGTGCGCCCTGAGAATAGCGCTCAAGTCTGGCCCAGTCCTGCCCAGGACTGTGAGTGTGCACTGATTCTGCCTGAAAACTGAGGGCATCTCTGCTCATCTCTTTGGCGCTTTGAGGGCTTCAGCAGAGCCATCTCTTAAAACCTCCGGATCCAGGCCCAGCTCTGTAGGAGTAGTGCCGAGGATGCTCTTGGACTGAACTCTGGCACCTGAGCCAGCTTCTGGACCCTTCCATAATTTATTGTCTCCCATTGCATAATGGGACCCAGTCGCCACCTCAAGGAGTCTTATGGGGAGAGAACAGAGCTGATAAACATGCAAACAATGGTTCCTATAGCCAAGCCTGGGTGGAATGCGGGGTGCAGACATCATCATGCACCATGGTCGAAGACAGGGCCAGGGACCCTGATGGATAAGGGCTTTTTCTAGGAAATCCCTGTGCCCACAGCCAGCTTCCTCCAGCCCCTCTGCAGGCTAAGACCACCTCCCTTCCCTGCTCTCTCCCTACCCCCAAAATGCCCACCCCTTAAGCCAAGTCTGAGGTTTCTTCATAAGGATTTCATTATGGTCTGGGGAAGGGAATGAAGGTTAAGGGACTCCTGGGCAGCAATCCCTGAAAACAGGCACCCCAGGGGGCTTCCAGGAGGCCTTCTCCCCTCAGGCCTGGGTCCACAGTGACAGCAACAACCAGTGGTCTGTGTTTGTTTAGTTTATTGGTTTATTGGTCCTTAGCATTGTATCTCAGTTACCAAGGTAAATTCACATACACAACTGCAGGTAAAAACATGTAAAATAATAAAAAAATAAATCGAAGGCTACTTTTATATATTTATGAAATTAAGTAGTGTAATAAATACTATAATAAGCCAAAAGCTTCATTCACACAATTCAGTTTCACTGAAGTTACAGTAGTGTTTGTAAATACAAGTTTTAAAATTTAACTTACAAATATTTAAAGCACTGAAAAACTAGTATAAAAGTGAATTTTGGCACATAAGTGAGCTCTTATGTCATTAGTATTTGACAACCTGGGATAAGAAGGAAGCCATTTATTTCTCACCTACTTTTTGAGGTACAACTATCCAACTAAGTCAGCAATATGGCTGAAATACTTAAAAGTTTACAGTCTTTGAGTTGAACTATTTTTCCCTTTTGAGAAGCCCAAAGAGCAACCCAGAGCTTATTACTGTGCAAAAATTCCCCAAAATTCTAATTGAATTTGGGAGGTTAACTTTTTGTTGCAACCTGCAGGGCTTAGGGCCCAGGCCTCAAGTCAGAGAGCCCTGGAGCACATTGGGCCAACTGGACTCCTTGCTGGAGGCCCCTTCCTGGGAGGATCCTGTTTTTTTCTCCAATTTCTACTTCCTTCCTCCAATCAAAAATAGGAAACTCCCAACATAAAAACGTTAAACAATCTATAACTTCAGCGACTTCAACATTATCTCACTCATTCTGGGTGATACAAAACTGAAGCTGCTAAGAGGAAAGTTGGCAAAAAGCATGTCAACCCCTGGAGGACTCTGCCTGCTCCTAGGAACCACACGGATGCCTTTGCTGGGCCCCCATATCCACTTGGTTTCTAAGGTCAAATGCTAAACACAGTGTCATGGCCCTGCCTCTGGAGACAGCCTAAGACCTTGCCACCCAACCTGGAGCTGGGAGGAGGAATCAAGTGGATATTAAACGTTCATAGTCAGAACCAAGAGGCCCTGCAGGCTCCGGAAGGGGCAGTGCCAAGAGGTGACATCCTCTCAGCCTCAGTCCTCAAAGAGCTCATGCAGTGCACCACTGGTGTGTCTCTTCACCAGGGGGCACAGCAAGTGTGCCCAGGAATGCCCTTTCGCCAATGTGCCCCCTCACACTCCTGAGCAGGCTGAGGAGTGTCTATAGAGGCCTTGGCCAATTTTGCCTTTTTGGCTTAGAAACTTCTTAACGTTTTAACTTCTTTTTTTCAATCACAGTTTCATTTTCAAGTTGAGGTAATCACAGTTCTCCCTCTCAAGAGAGGAATTGGGACAGTGGGGCAGGTTGGTGAGAGAGCATTTCTATGGACAATGGTCAGAAACCAAGACCACCATGGAACATAGCCCTACACAGTGAGGAAACTCACTGTCATGGGCAGCTCCCGACCCCTCTTTAAAAACTCTTCTGTGCAGCAGCCAGACTGCCGGGACAGGGCAGCCAGGAAATGGCTCGAGCTCCTAGATGTAGAGCTTTAATTTAAAACTTCACAGCAACCCACCTGGAGAAAATGGCCGTGGTTCCCACCCCCCACCCCCACCCCTTTTCTAAGGCTGCTCAAGTTTGAGTTTTTAAAGAGAGCTCGGTAGAGCTAAAGGAAGCTACAGTAACTCATTGCTTATTTCATCAATTGCACTTAAAATCTACATACAAGTTATTGATCTCAAGCAGAGGCAGGCCTGCTGTGGATCCCCGCATCCGGCCAGCCGGAAGTGAGGGGTTCCCAGACTTGTTTGGAGCTAGGCCTAGAATAGGTGGACCTTTCAGAAGCCTTTTTTGACACAAGATTTCTTAATCGAATTTGAGCTTTTGTTTGCCTGACTTCAAATATAAATTGTTTCTTTCTACTCCAAGTACATTTTACCAAGGAGTCCTTGATGATGGCTGTGCTCCTTGCTGTAGGCCTCTGCATGGTCAGGCACCCACACGTGTGCTCCTGCCTGTCTCTCCCCTGCACCGAGGGTCTTTCTCAATGACCCCGCTACATTATTGGAAACTTTGCTGGTTTCACCTATGTGCTTCTTCCTAAGGCATGCAAGAATGATATAAAATTCAGAAAGCATTTACAATCCAGGCAACTGAGGCACTGAAGCCCTCCAAGACATCACTTGAATATCAGATATCAGTGCCCGTTCCCTTCCTCGCCCCCATTGATTCTGGGGGTTAGGTATGGGGTGTGTTTGTAGTTCCCCTCTGCTTATGGTCAGTGGAAAACTAAGCCATGGCAAGGAATTCTAATTTGGGCATTGAAATTTGAAACTCCTGGCCAAACAAGTTTAGGGCCAGCAACAATACTTAGGGAGCATGAATTTCCTGAAGTTTGTGTCTTGGAATCAGGTCTCCCCTAGTAAGGCTGATGGAAGGAAGGGCTGGATGCTTCAAGGGCACCCATGAGGGTTCAGAGTCCTGGGCCTAAGACTCACCAGGATGCTCATCCACAGGGAGCAAAGCATCATCAAGGAAGCTTGAGCAGCTGGGTTGTTCTTGTCCATGAATTGGGCAAACAGGGGAGCTCAACAGGGACTGAGTGTATCGCCTCAACTGGACATGTCTGGAAAGCTACGTGCATTTCCCCTCAGTTGAGTCTATAAGGGAAGTCCCCTCATTTTAGAACAAGCTGTTGATCTCACCCAAGCTGCAGGCTTGGTGGCCTGGGCTGGGCAGGACTTGTCCTGCTCACCCCAGGCCTGGGCTAAGGGCCAGCTCCTTCAGTGGAAGGGACCTAAGCGAAGGAGACAGGCACTCCTTTGGGGATGAGGACCTTCCTGGGACAGTGTCTGAGAACTGAGGCCTCTGGTGACCTGGTTCCCCAGGCATGGTCATATCTGTGCAGCCAGGGTCCCTCTTCTGAGGCCCAGCAGATCCTCTGTGGAACCCCAAACCTCCCACCCTCACACAGTACCTCTGTAGCACAAAGGAGATACTGTTATCAGAGACTCAGAGGTCCTGGTCTGCCAGCTCCACACACAGGACAATCCCTGTCTGCTCACCCTCCACAAAGACCCCCCACCCCACCCACCAGTGGTCCCAGTGATGCTCATCAGCATTGTATAGAGAACAAAGACAACATGCACTCACGCCAGCACATACAGGCCAAGGAGAACAAGGTAGCCCCTCGAGGGAGGGGCCTCCAGCAGAGTGGAAGCTAAGACACCATAGCATCAGTCTCTGGGATAGACATTCTGCAGGACATTCAGGCCTCGCTTTCCCCTATGGCTTCTGCTCAAAGAGGTCATGATACTCCTGCTGCTCCAGCTCACGGTTATACTTCTCAATTTCTCGGTTGGCTTCTTCCACGTAGTCATTCATGAACTGGTCCATGACTGGATCTCATTAAGGAAGATAGCCAGGACTGAGAGGGATCTGTGGAGAGGGGATGAGCCTGATGGGCTCCTGATGTAGTGGCAGCATCACAGCAGTACAGCATGTGGACAGATGTTGGCACAGGGTCCTTAATGGGGTCCTTCACACTCACTAGCACATAGTAGCAGCACTCACCTGCTTCCATATTTCACTCTATTGATCTTCCTACAGATTAGTGTAATCAGGTAGAGTTTCCAACTTGTAAATTATGGCCCTGATGACCACGCAACTCAGAATGTCATCTCATGTGTTACATCACACATCAGGGCTTCATTCAAACTATCATTCATGTAGCAAAATGTAGCACAGTTACACTACAGCAACCACTGAACAAAGCAGAAACCAAAGTCTAGGGACTTTAAAAGCCAGCTCTTGCAGTCTGCTCCAGGGACCCAGTTGTGGCAGCTCAGACAGATACCTAGTTTACAGACATGTTCACATACATCTCCAGCCTCCACCCAGAGACCAAGTGCTTCAAGGATACGTGGGTGAAAATCAGTCTTGTCACCAAAGAAGTTGACAAACTGAGTTCCATTATAAAAGTAGCCTGCAGGTAGGGGATCCAGGTGGCGTTTCACCTGTACGATTAAAGAGTTCTGTTAATAGTATCTGACCACTTTGTATCATTCATTTACTCATTAAAAGCAAACAGTTATTACCCCAGCATGATAGTCCACACTGCTCTGTGGGAGGCCAGAAGTGACAGGAAATTAATCTCCCCCAGTAGTCCTCAATCAATGACTGAGAGGTTTCTGCCTCTGAGGACACTGGGAGCTCCTAATGGGGACTCCAGTTGCTCACTGGTACTGTTCTGACAGTACTCTATTGTCTGTCTCCCCTGCCCTTTCCACACTTACATCTCTACCAGTGTCACCTAGAATCACCTTCCCAAATAACTACCTGCTCTCAAATCCTTGCTAAGGTCTGCTTCTCAAGGGGGAACACACACTGGGCGACTACTTCCTGAGGGGTTCACATGTTCCTCTCCAGGAACCTGCATAAGGCCAGGCCTAGCCCAAAGGCAAAAAGGGACGTCCTCAAGTCCCAAACAGGCTCTGGGAGACCCAGAAGAATACTCTCCTGTGGACGACTCATGACATAGTCCACCCTGGGGCCTGGATAGTACCCCTTTAGCCTGGGCCCCTAAGCTCCACAGGAAAAGGCAGATGCATGGGTAGAGAAGCTGCGGCAGAGGCTAGAGTCAGCCTGGAGGTTGTGAGGGCTCATCTTTCTGGCCTCAGGATTCCACAACCTTCCTATGTGAAACTTACAGACCTAGAAGGTTTTTCCTGGGGCCCTAGTTGTCTTATCTGTGATTTATCCAGGACAGAGGGATGGGAGTAGCAAAGGATTTCTTCTACAACTGTTTGACAGGGTGACAAAGTATGGCCCCATAGGCACCGGCTCTTCTTGACCTCTCATACAGGTCACAACCTCTGTGCTTCACTCTGCTTTCCATTGAAGCTGCCATATGACTGGAGAGAAGGGAGACTTCCAGCATGCCTCTCAGGAAGCCTAGATGGAGGTGTTATATAACTTCAGAAGGGCAGCTTTGGGATATGGGGGTAGAGTGAGGCCTGAAGGATAGGCTACTCACGTGGATGTTCCTGATCTCCTGCTGGGTCAGCATCCCCCTGGTCTTCAGGGCTTTCCTCTGAGGTTTCTGTATAGAAATGTAGGGGTCAGTTCCCAACACATCAGAGGGGAAAGCAGAACACTCAGGGCCTAGACATAACATCCTGCCTGCCTATACCTCAATGAAACCACTTTCCCACCACAAAACTGAGAGCCAGGGGAACAGGTGACAGAGGAAAGCCCAGTGCTTTTGCAAAGGGGCATGTTCCTGTCTGTTTTCAAGTTCTAAAGTCCCACCAATGACAAACAGGATGACAAAAGGACAATCTCAGGGTCCCATAATCAAGCACCACAGGGATTCATCCAGGTGAGAGTCTGAACACTCAGCCTGTAGGTAATTGAGCATCACAGAAGACTCAGGCCCAGTCAACTCAACTCTACACTCCCAGAGTTCTAGACTGAGCTAAACCCTGAGGTGGTTCTAATAGCTTGCAGCCTCTTGAAAGTCTCTTAACATCTCTGGGTTTTTCTTTACAGCTTTAGGCAAAACCTGCTGGAGAGAATCCACAGACTAGCCTCCTCTCCCTGCCTCCAGGGGTACTGGGTTCAATGGCATCCACACTTGCAATCCTGGTTTATAATAGCTCTAAACAGATCTTTGTTGTTACTTCTTTCTAGAGACAGAACGCAAATATAGGAGATTTGGGGCTCAGAACACAGAAAAGTCTTTGAATTAGACTGCTAAGAAAAGATATTTGGGGTTTAGAACACCAGGTAAGCCCAACATCAGAATGGAACACAGGTCTTAGGTAAATCATCTAGTAATTTGAGTCTGCCTTGGGAAGAGGAACTGGGAATGGCTGTGAGGACCTGGGCTCAGGGGGCAGGAAGCATACCCCGGCTGACTAGAGTTTACCCAGAGTGGCTTCCTTGTACTCTCCAAGGTCCTGAAAGTGCTGACTGAGCCTCTCAGGGGGACCAGTGGGAAGGCATCAGGGAGGCAGTAGAGGGGAGTCAGCCTCAGGCTATGCTAGTCACATCTGTGTCAGCTGTCTGCCCTTTGGAAACCACCTGCTTCGCTGACTGCCGTAGCCAGTCCTTCACACTTTCTTCCTTCAGGGAGCAGCCGATGAACACAAGGTAGCATTCCTGCTGCTGCCCACCACTGTCTTGAGATATGCTTCTGGAGTCAGGTGGTGGAGTGGGTCCTTCCAACACCGGCACAATGCTTAAGGAATTGGTTAGAGTGCTGTGGCAGACCTCCATGGTCCTCTCAGAGTCTGCAGAGAGAACACGTGTGAGTCTCCAAAACCCTGGCCCCAAAAGGATGTGGCTACATTAAGATTGTAACAATGTAACTGATATTGGGGACAGAATCATGAGACAGATACAGGAGGTAGAAATGACATGACTGGTGACAAATTCAAGGATGGAGTAAGATAGGCAGGAGCAAAACAACTTTCTAGCTTGGCTGAGTTGGGTGATGGATGCTCTTAACTCGGAAAGGTACTACAAGAGGAAAAAGAGTTTTTTTAGGTGGGAGGCGAAGAGGACTACACCTGTAGCATTTTAAGACTGTAAGATTCTAAATGGGAGACACCAGTGGTCATTAGAAGGAGGTGATTACCTATGTGGAAAAGGTAGTTGAAGAGATGCAAAGAAAGCCCCATTATAGAAGGTAGGAGAGGGTCTCAGCAGAGGTCTGAAAGGAAGGATACATGGGCCAAGGGAGGAGACTCTGGTCAATAGCTCATGTGCTGTAGGGAGGTCACATGGATAGGGATGCAAAATTGTGGTAACATTCACAGGCTGATGAGCTGGTGGTGACTGGAGATATAAGAAAAGGGCAGGATGAGAAGGTGATCTAGAGTGGAACGTGTTAACCTTGAATAAGAAAAGGCCAACAGTGGGTTCTGCTGCACTGGTTGCATTTACAGGGCCTTTTCCTTTCTTTTCTTAAGCTTTTTAGTATGAATTGGGTGAAGGTATACAGAGCAAATCAGTTTTCCATTCAACAATTCATACACAGCTTGTTTCATGTCCTTCATTGCAATCCTCACAATGTGCCCTCACATACCCTGCTTCCCTTCTGGGTTTCCTGGTTAAATACTGCCCTTATGACTCTACTAAGAGGTGAATACCTCCACCCTAGTGTTACTGTTCCCCTTAGAGGCCATTGTTTGGCCAAAAACTGAGCCACAGGTGAGTTCAGTTCCAGACTTGCAGCATGACTGAGGGCTGTCGTCGAGGGGATTATATGACATTTCTAGCCATTGTTTTATAACATCCACAACAGGATTGGCTGGGACTATGCAAATAAGGTACATAAAACTTTTGCAAGAGCTGGACAGTTTACATGCAAATAAGATGACTGTGACCTACCAAAGGGACTGGTCAGTTTTACCATCCTGCTAGGCTTATAAAAGCTAACCACAGAGGTTGAGAGGGATCTCACTACCATCAAGAAGCAGAGTCTGGAGCAGAGTGTGTCCTTTGGGCCAAGAGCCCAGGGTCCCTCTGCTGAGAACCTCCTAGGTCCAGAAGAAAGAACTAACACTGAAGATGACAAACGACAGCAGGGCTGGGCCTGCCTGGCTCACAGAGTGACAGCTGAGTGCCTTTAGGCAGAAGGTTTGCACTGGAGCTACAAGAGCTGTAACATTTGCTTGCCCAGGGCAAGAGAGGCCTGAGTACCTAAGTGTGCTCTGTGCAGGGGCTCCATGCCTCTCCCCCAGCATGGCTGCAGGAGGGCCCTATAGACCTGGGTAGTGTGGCAGGAGATAGCAGCAGAGGCTTAGAAGGAGCTGGCAGCACAAGCTTGGAAGAGTCTGTGCAGGGATCTTCCCACCAGCAAGCTAAGGAAGGCCCTGTGAAATCCAGAGGCAGAGCAGAAGCCTCAGGAAGGATGGCGGTAGCTGGAGGCAACAGTGACATGGATGCAACATCTGACCTGAGCCATGGTGTGCTGGGCCAGTGACATGAAAATGGACATGAGTAATTCGGGGAAGGGTATTACCCTTTGGGAAGCTTGTTGTTATTGTTTCATGTTTGCCTTCTATAAACAATAGCAACGGCTTTCACTTTGCCATCACTCTGTAAGTGTTTCCTGTGTCTGGCTCAATCACAGATAAACTTGACACCCATGGAATGGTCAGTGCCAGTGGGTGCACATGTCTCATTCCTAGCAGACTAATGGCTGCCTGCAAGTCTGAGGCATAGCAGATCTGCACATGCCATTCAGCTAGACATGCTCTTATAGTGGGATTAAATGTGGAAGAAAAGGAGATGACAATGGGTGAGAATGCTGGAGGATGAAGGCATTAGTGCTTCTGAGCCAGGCAGGGGCTGTCTGTTATAGCCTGAGGGAACTGGACCAGAGGAGAGGGAACAATGTTTCAGATTCAATGAACTTAAGTTATGCAAAAGGTATGGGCTAAGAACCTGGAGAGATTCTTTTCTACAGGTTGTCTTTTGATTCTTCCACCTGAACCATGGCAGTCCCATGCTTACAATCCTCAGGGACTTCTTACAGCAGACATTGGTCAGATGCCCGCAGCATCTCCACTTCCTCCAGTACCAATGCCCTTGGGTAATGTGTCTAGGAAGGCATGGCAACTGCACCCTGGCCAATGAGATCAGTCTGCCGAGGAACTGGGGGAGAAGTTTCAGGGAAAGGCTTCTGCACTGATACAGACATCAGATAAGAGCCAGCTCTCCTCACAACATCCAGAGGCTCTGGGAATGGATGTGACACCTAGACCTACTGTACCAACTGTCCTCATGAGGGACAGTAACCTTCTGACAAACGGACATACTAAGATAGAAAGGACACCCGTTACCTGAGTCTTCAGTGGCTTTAAGTTACCCGGCATCTTGTTACACATCTCCTCCCGCTAGCTGAATTGGAGTTTTTCTGTTACAACAGCTGAGGCACTAATGCCTTCAGCTCCTTCCCTAGAGCAGTCTCACCCATCGTCATCTCCTTTTCTTCCATACTTAGACCACTGTCCTATGAGCAACTCCCTCCTACCACCAAGCTCCAATCATAATAAACCCTTTATGGTTCCTCAAAAGTACCTTTTCTGCTTCAGCACCACAACACATACTGTTTCTTTTTCCAGGATTATTCTTCTTTCTCAACTTTGATCTTACCTACTTGTTTTGAGGCCTTTCCTGATCCCTACACTCGAGATGTCTAAGACTCATACAGGCCTGCTGGACAGCAGGGAGAAGAAGACAAATGGAAGGCCAGAAGACTTGATCTAAAATAGAACTAGGGTTCAGTGGCAACAGGTGCAGGAAGAAGCCCATGGGTGGATTAAGAGGGGTGGGTTATGAGTCACTGGAACAAGGAAGTCACGGAGAGGACCTTAGCACATCACCAAGGGAAGAGGAACAGAACCTCCACTGTGGTACAAGAAGTCTCCTGTGAAGGTGATCCCTTGGCTGAGAGGAGACTAGAACAAAGCCTGATAGTACAAGTCTACTCAGGGAGGGTTTTCTTGAGAGAGTCTTGAGTTTATTGATGGCTTGCAGAGCACCCGCAGAGGCTGTGACTCAAAAGGTTCTGAAGCCTTCAGAAGGTGCAAGTGGGGTTGGGTCTGTGTATGTGTGGGGGGTGGCATGAGATCTGAGTTCTCCAAGCACAGTGTTCCCAAACCCAATCCCCCAGTTACCTGAAAACTTCACTTTGCCCAGGATGTGGTAGATGTTTCCAGAGAAGGGACTTGGCTTGATGGAGGACCGAATTGCTGGTGGAGGAAAAGGACAGGGGTGTCACCTACCTTGGGACAGAGGTCAAGTGCAGGACAGCATAGCTGAGAGGGTTAGGGACTGGGGAAGAGACCCTACTCTAGGGTCCAGGGTGTAAAGGCTCTATCCCTTTCTCCTGTTTTCTCCCCAATAATTCTGCCTCTGTTCCAAGGGGGAAACTCTTCCAAGGGAGTGGAGATCAGATTGAGTGACTACCCAAGATCAGAGGTAGGGGGGCTTCTAGATCCTCAAATCCTTCTGCCTGCTTCTGGTCTAAATGGGAAAAGAGAGAGCAAACGAAAGACTGACATAATGCCAGGAAGTAAGGCTACTCTGGGGCACCACTTCACCAGGACCTAGGACACATTACAGACAAGGCTTACCTTTACATCTGGCCACAAAGCGAGGCTTCTCCAAAGGCCGACTAAACCATACGCAGATCTGAACCATCAGTGGAAAGATTGATCCAGAATCAAATTTACCTTCATACCTTAAAAAGTTTAAACAATTATAAGTACAAACAATAAGAGCTCTGTGTGTTGTTATGTACTACCATGGGATGAACTACGTATCATTTATCCTATAATATTTGATTTCCCCCTTGCTTGTATGGCAACAAAACGCTTGTTTAATGTGTAATCTTGAGATTAGGAAGCACATCTGTCTACATTAAAGCAGGGGCTTTCTGAAGACCTTAGCTCCTCAGACAAGCAGTCAAAGGTCCGACCTTTCGCTGAAGCTTGCTAATGCCCACCTTAGGTGAGGATCCTTCCGAGTCCTTCTTCAGTACGCCCTCTTACCCCTCCTGGGCTCTAATGATGCCTCATCAACTTGTATGGGCAGCTCAACAGAGGCTGCACATTTGGACGTGTACATCTTTCTAGAAGGAACTGAAAGGCCAGAGACCTTTCTGCTCAATTTTTCTAGTCTTGGGATCAGTAGACATTGTCTGCTACAGGCTCATTAGGAATGTGGTCAGATTCAGAGCATTCAAAATTTTTTTAACTTTTTATTATGAACATTTTCAAACTATACAAAGATAGGAGGAAAGCATAAAGAACCCCCATCTAGCCACCACCCAGCACCTACAGTATGGAAGAGTTATTCCTTCTTCTTTTGAATTACTTCCCTGAGATGAATCTTACCCATGATTGGAATCACTGGGAGAGTGGAGTGGGGTAGGAAGGAAACTATTACCAGCTCATCAGTAATTGTTTATACTGGTCCCCCATAGTTTCTCCAGACTATAATAGATATTTTAAAATTAACTTAATAGGTGTCAATTGAAACACTGAGGCACAATTTTACACTTGTGAATATTACTGACATTGAATCCTGTTACCATGATTGCTATTTATATTTGGCTCTTCTTCTTGTTGTTAAATGCTGTTGAATAGGTTCTGACTCATAGCAACCCTCAATAGGGTTTCCAAGGGTTTGAACCACTGACCTTGCAGTTAGCAGTCTAGCGCTTATCCTACAGCACCACATCAGGACTCCCTTATTTGTTCCTAGGTCATCTCTATATGGACTTGGTTACTTTTTAAAAAATATTTAAATAAGCTTCCCAAATATTATAGCTATTAACCCTTAGTCACATTCAATGTAAACATTTTCCTCTGATCTAATGTATTTTCTTTTGTTTCTGTGCTGCCCTGAACCAGATGGGTGACAGCTCTGTCTTCTTCCTCCACCAGCCATCTAGTCCTCCATTCAGCACTGCATTTATGAGTTCAATATTGTTGAGAATATCATACTCCTTTGTGATCTCTTTAAAGTAAGATGGTGGCATAACATTTTTGTAAGACTGCCATGGTTTTCACAGCCCTCCACCCACCCAAACTTGCTAGTGGGGCTGGTTTGTGGGAGGTCTTAGAGAGGCTGTGGGTCTGAACTCGCAGGGGAATTCAGAGGGGGTGTAGGGAAGAGAAGTAGAAAGGAACTGTCCTCCCAGACAAGGTGGGGCAGGGAGATGAGAACAGAGAGGGCTGTAGGAGGGGAAGGGCATACACAGAGCTAAAGTCAGTATATTCTGAGGTAGTTGGTGGCCTTGACCCAAAGGAGGGATGGAGGGGCAATGTATGGGGACGAGTAGGAGGAGACTAGTGATAAATATATAGGTAACAAAAGATTTGCCATTTTGACAATTTTTATATTGTTCATCATTACCATAACCTGTTCTTGAATTTTTTTTATCATACCAGCTCAACGTCTCTAGTGCTATGTCTTCTTTTCTCTGTCCCTGCTGTCCACTATTGGCACCCACCACTAAACGTTGGTTTCTACATTCTTGCCTCATCTAGATATTTTATATGTTGTTGTTGTGTGCCATTGAGTTAGTTTCGACTCATAGTGACCCTGTATAAGGTTTCCAACAGTGGCTGGTGGGTTTGAACTGCTGACCTTTTGGTTACCAGTCCAGTGCTTATCCTTCAGCACCATACCAGGGCTCAACTATTTCATATAAATGGGATCATATAATAATATTTATCCTTTTATAATTAACTTAAGGAGTCCTGGCAGCACAGTTGCTAAAGTGCTCAGCTGCAAACCAAAAGGTCAGTGGTTCAAACCTACCAGCTGCTCCACAGGAGAAAGATGTGGCAGTTGGCTTCTGCAGAGATTCCAGCCTTGGAAACCCTATGGGGTAGTCCATCCTGTCCTATAGGGTTGCTATGAGTCAGAATGAACTTGATGGCAATGGGTCTGACTTTTTGGTTTGGTGATTAACATACTGAAAGACAATCTTGAGTCTCTCCAACTCTGCTTCTCTCTGAGGACTGAACTACTTCCCGACAAGGGAACTGTTTCAGGCTCTAGACTGCAGTGTTTTAAAGAGACCCTCATTCCCTGCTGTCTTCTGGATCAGTCTGCCCCAGCTCAGTCTGTGCTCTGAGCTAAATTTACATGGGCACCCACCGAATGAGTCAGTAGGATAATTGGTAGCTGGGTACTTCCCGAAGCGCCAGATGGGAAACTGGCGGAGTCTCAGTTCTAGACCCTAAGGTATGGGCAGTAAAAGGGTCAGTAACTGCAGTATCAGAAAGAACCCAGCCATGCCATCTGTTTCTTTTTAGCTAAGACATAATCAACTTGTTGAGATAAAGAAGGACCCATTTACGTAAGTATAATGTGACTCAACTCTGAGATTCCTTCTATGACTATGTCTGAAAATCTTTGATTTTATATATCAACCTTCTGGGATTCTATTACAGCAAAGTACAACTACTGTTTTGTTTTGTTTTTTTAAGTCCAAAAAATTGGTGGTTAAGGTGCAGTGTGGAGGAAGTACAGAGAGGACTGGGGAAAGTAAGTAAGGCTAACAAAGATAATCCATATGCATATGGAAGATTAATTTTGGCCAAGTTTTAATGATTGCTTTCTCTTAAAATTTTCAACAGAGCATAAATTAGTTATCTATTCATTCTGCACAGAAATGGGCCAACTCAGTGGGCTGGAACCAGCCAGCCTGAATTTGAATTCCAGATCTTTCATATTTGAGCTGCATGATTAAGGAAAATATCATTTAACAAGTTATCCCTTATCTGTAAAATGAGCAAAGCAATGGGAAATCTACCTCATAGGCTTCGTATGAAGATGAATGCAGACAAAACTCTTACAATAGCACTGCCCAATGTGACTTTCTGTGGAAATGGGAATGCTCTGGGCCTTCACTGTCTAACATGATGATTGCTAGCCACACCTGGTACTGAGCACCAGAAATGTGGTTTCGGTGACTGAAATTTAAATAAATTGTATTTTTAAAATCTTTTTATTAGGAATTGGGTGAAGGTTGCAAAACAAATCAGTTTTCCACAGTGTCTCCTGTCACTTATAGAAATTCACACAATTTAACATCATTTATTCCACTGCCTTTTTTTGTTTCCTATTTCCATTTCTCCTTTGTTCTTTTTTAAAAATGTTTTATTGTGAATCTTCTTCATCCCTAATCCTTCAGAATTTTGTCCTTGGGTAAGAGATGCCCTTTTAATCTCAAATGGTTGATTATCCTAAGATGTGCCTAATTTTTCATTTAAGTAGTCACAGGTGGCTACTGTATTGGTCAGTGCAGTCTTAGAAAATGCCCTCTCTGGAGGGGAAGGTCAGAGGCTGAGAAGAACCTGCAGAGACGAGAACATTCCCTGACCACACCAGCAGGGATGCTGCTTCTCTCAGCTTGCCCCAGAGGACTGACCAACTAGGCTCAGAAGCGACACTCTCACCTGGGAAGTTTACAACTCCTTGGTTCCATGGCAGCCACCTCACTCTCACTAGGGACTGCTACTGAGCTTGATGCCTACAGAATGACTCTCTAAATCTCCACAATCCAGGGAGGCTCCCAAGTTGGAGCCCAAGATGTGGAGCTCGGGGCTTCTGCAAGACTGGCGGGCATTTGGACATGGCAGGCGAGTCCAGCTACTGCCAAGTGTCACCTGTACAGAGAACACCTGGTATTTTCATTTGCTCATTTTTTCCCCTTTCTGTAAACAGACAAGACACTGGATTTACAAAGAAATCTTGGCTACTTTTCAATAGTGATACTTGCCAGCCAGGGTACATTAAATATCGAGCTCGTAGCATCTGAGGAGTTGAAAAACTATTTTCTGAGAGAATCAGCTCAATGTCTTCATTCCTTTGAAAACACACAGAGAAGACACAAGTTAATTAGGACTAGCAATCTTAACTTACATATTCTGACATCTCATCTACACTGGGTCACACTGTGAGCCAGAATCGACTTGATGACAATTGGTTTAGTTTTCACATATCCAACCATGCATGCATGTTTTCTTATGCCACACTATTGGAAACTCAGTTGCAGACAACATCATGACATTTCACCCCTAAATATTTCAGTATGGATCGTCTCAGGACAAGGATACTCTCTTACAGAATCACAATGCTAGTTTCACCCTCCAGAAACTTAACACTACAGACAGGCAGCTTTGGCGTTACTTGGGAGCCTGTTAGAAATACAGGCTCTCAGGCCCCAACCCAGACCTGCTGAATCAGAATCCTCATTTTAACGGAGATGTCTATGCACAATAAAATTGAAGAAGCAATGATTTAACATGCACACATTCTTGAATGAGCATCACTTAATGAACTCACAAACTTTGTTCTACTTTATTCTAGAACAGTTTTTCCACTTTTTTTTTTTTTGTCTTTCAAGGCACTGACATTTTTGAAGGGTACATGCCAGGTGTTGTGTGTCTCACAACCTGAATTTGTTTGATAGGGTCCTCATGATTAGATTTAGGTGAAACATCTTTGGCCAGATTAATGCACAGGTGATGGTGAGTCCTTCCCACCACATCATATGGAGGAGGCAAACAATGCCAGTCATACCATTACTGGTCTTCCTAAGTTTCATCACTTAGGCAATGTAGTGTCTGCTAGGCCTCTCTATGATACAGGGCTTTTCCCCTTTGTAATTAGCACACAGTCTTTGCAGTCATAGTCTGAAATCAGTGAATACTCTTTTTCTCATTGTTGTCACCCACTGGTTTTAACATCCATTTATGATCCTTGCCTCAATCAAGTATTATACTGAAGATTAGAAAGCAGTGACTTTCTAACTGTACCAATCCTCACTTATTAGTTGACAGTATTCTGTAAAGAAAGGCTTTACTGTTTTATCCCTCCTCATTTTTTAACATCACCATGGATTCCATGTGTTAGTATCACTGTCCTTTCTCATGTTCAAATTTCCCCCAAGTTGGCTAGTGGGAGCGTCTCGAGCTAGTTCCTGTACCTGATGTATCTCCATAGATTTTTGAGTACTTTCCTTTTTTGGCATGAAATGTATCAGGCTCATCTTGTGCTGTCCCTGCTCTAGATTTTCAATCAGCCAATTTTTCAGGAAGAAGTCCTGATTCCTTTTAGTATGGAATGGTACTTAGAAAACACAATCTGAAGGTTAGGTGTATATACTACATACCTAACAAGTTTTTTAAAACTTTTTATTATGGATTAAATGTACCAGTCAAAAGACAGAGGACAGCAGAATGGATAAGAAAACAGGATCCTTTAATATGCTATCTACAAGAGACACATCAAAAAGATGGAGACAACATAAAGGCCCATCAACAGAAGCATGGATAAACAAACTTTGTTACATACACACAATGGAATACTACAAAAGGTTGAATAATAATGATGAAAATATTTCTGCTTTGTTGATGTATGAAAAATAAGATGTAAAAGGGAAGCCACGGGGAGGAAGCAGGATAACTTGTTACAGGGAGGGGATTGTAATCATTGAGATGAAACAAAATGTATGATTGGTTGAAAGTAAAGCTGATGAGCTTGTCTGTTAACCTTCACTCAATTCACAATAAAAAGTTATAAAAAGGAAAAAAAAAGAATGATGATGAATCTGCAAAACACCTTACAAGATGGATGAATCTGGAGGACATTATGCTGAGTGAAATTAATCACAAACAGTGGTATAAGACCATTGTTGTAAAAGTTAAGAAAAGGCTTTATTGATAAAAGAAGCATTCTATGATGGTTAGTGGGGGGTGGAAGGTGGAAAGAGGGAAAATTATTCACAAGCTAGAGGTTAGTTAGACACATGTTAAATGAGTGAAGGAGCAGGCAATATACAAAAGAAGGAGGTTTAGCAGAGGAAAGATGAAGGTAGCAGAAGGCACAGGGAGGCATGCAGTAATAGTTAAAGTGATGGTGGTGGTGGTGGTAGTGTGCTGTGGAGTCAGTTCCGACTCATAGTGACTCTGCATAGGGTTTCTGAGGCTGTAAATGGTTACGGGAGCAGAAAGCCTCATCATTCTACCACAGAACTGCTGGGACACTGCTGACCATGAGGTTAGCAGTCCAACTAGTAACCACTACACTATAAGAGCTCCTTAATAGTTTAAGTGAATAGAGATAAATACTGCTAACTGATGGTATATGGAGGGCATTGCAATCACTGTAATGAAGCAAAGTTGAATGTAAAACTGATACTCTGCTCTGTAAACCTCTTCACTCAATTCACAATAAAGATTTAAAAAAAACAAAAATTTTTATTTTGAATTGAATGACTGTAGGTTTACAGAGCAGGTCATCAGTTACATACATAAAAGTTTTTAAAAAATGCATTTATATTGACTTCTTCAATTCAAACCCAATAGGCTTTATTTCCTCACAATATTCTATTTCATATTTGCAATCTCTCTTCTCCAATCAGCAATGCTGTTTGAAATCAGGGTTCCAACAGAGGATCATGTACAAAAGTTACTGGAATTATCTTTGTGCGTGTAGTTACGTAATCAATCACTTCTGATACATGGGAAAGATCATCTTTTGCTTGTATTTAGTTTTTTCACCTGTCAATTTACTTAGGACTGTTGTCAATTTGTTAAGTACTGTCGAGTGAGTTCTGACTCATAGTGACCCTGTATAGAATTTCTAAGGAGCGGCTGGTAGATATGAACCACCGACCTTGCGGTTAGCAGTCCAGTGCTTATCCTATAGTGCCACACCATGACTTAGGAATACATAAAGTAATTGTATGGTCCAAAAGCAAAAATTATATATGTAAAAAGGTATATACAATCAGGAATGATTGTGAGGGTTGGAAATGTAAAGGTAGATGTTTTGTAGCAAGGAGGGGAGTGATTAACTTTGTAGTCTAGGGTAGAGGTCCCTGGGACCATCAAGGGAGAAGAGCAGAGTGCGGGACCCTACCCAGAGAAGCAGTGATGCCATAGATGGAGGCAGAGACGATGATGTGGAGAGATGAAGCAGCTGGGGACTTTAGATCCAGAGAGGGAGAGGGGTTGTGTGCTGACGACTGGAGGGCAGGCTTGTAAGGGTATACGCTTTGGTTGGTTGATGATGCATGGAGGGGATTGTAACCATGGCAATGAAATGATATATGATAGGATGAATGTAAAACGAATGTTCTCCCATGTAAACTATCACATAATTCACAATAAAACATTAAAAAAAAAAGATAAATACAGAGAAGTCTCAACCTCTACATTTCCAAATTGAGTAAAACAAAATTGTTGAATGACCAGTTGTGTTCTCTTCATACACACACACACACAACTCATCTACTTTGGCAAGATATATAGGTGATGTTGTGATCATAGACCTGTCTCTGAAGTAAAAGAACTAACCACATTTCAAAAGAGAGAATTTTTCTCTCACATTTTAGCATAAGAAACTGAGAGATTCTGAATTTCCATCCTTTAATGAATGAAAACAAGAACACCTAAAAAAATAAAGCAAAAATAGTATAAGATACTAAAACATTGAAAGATGCTGACATAAGTAAGAGCTGAAGAAAACTGATTTCTATGGGAGCAAGTGCTTGGGTTTTAAATACATGAAAAGACTGTGGGCTACAGCACTGCATCTGAGAAAGTGGCCAATCCAGTGTGGTGGTCTGTGGAAGAGCTTACCTGGTGACGATCCCATTTTCTGCAAGAATGAAGGCTGCAGTAGGATTGGCAGCCCTGATGAGACTCTGGAGCTGAACAAGGAGAGGGTGTCTCTGTTCCACCGTGTGACTGGTAAACACCACATTATTCACCAAGCCTGGAGGATAAACAGAAAAAACAGTTCAGCCTTTAGAGCTCTGATTAGGGATCCTTGCTCTCCTCTCTCCTGACCATCCACTGTTTTCCTTGACTATCCTCCCAGGTGTCTCCTTGTGCTGACAGACATCCCTACCTTACAGCATTGACACACAGGGACATCATTCTGTTCCCCAACTTGGCACTGCCACTTTTTGGAAAGAACAGCCTCAACTCTGCAGCTGCCTTACTTCCTAACCTTCTTTGTCTTCTTAACTCTGCTTTCTGATTGATACCCAAAGCTACTTCTTCATCAAGGGCTAGTGTCACACACCTCATCAGCACCTGCTATCACTGAAGTTCATCAGTTCAGACCACAGTCATTTATGGAACACTAGCCATACATCAGTCCTGGTGTGGCACTGTGGATTAATGTACTGGACTGCAAGGTTGGTGGTTCAAGCTCACCAGCCACTCCTCAGAAACCCTATACAGGGTCACTATGGGTTGGAACCGACTCAACAACACTTAATAACAACAACAGTCACATGTCATAGAATCCTGGTGTGGCGCTGTGGGTTAATGCGCTGGACTGCAAAGTCGGTTTAAACTGCAAGGTCAGCAGTTCAAGCTCACCAGCCACTCCTCAGAAACCCTATACAGGGTCACTATGGGTTGGAACTGACTCGATGTCACACAACAACAGCTATATGTCAGGTCTAACTATTATGCTCTCAATGGGACACACGGCCAAGGTGTCACTGTGGACCCACAATTCCATGATATAGATGTTCTCACATTGCCAGGCTAAGGATGGGTAGGCCGTGTAATAAGGAGTGAGTGTGAAGTGGGCCACAATTATTCTCAACCTTCTTGAGCAAAATTCACAATACTACACATAATTTTGAAAGCAGTAAAATTATGACATCCCACCACCCTAACAAAATTATACCTATTCCTCATTTATCAATGATTTCATTATTCAACATTTCCCACTGAGGACAGGGCCCCTTCATGGTCCATCTTGAAAGATAAACTATAGTCCCCAGTGATGACTGAGCCAAATGAGGGACACCTGGCCACGGGATGCCTTCCTATTCCTCTGTGACATCCTGGTCTAACCACAGAGGGCAAAGGGGATGGATGGGATGATGTGAGGTCTCAGTGGGCAGGGGAAGGCCAGGAGAGGGCCCAGTGGTGCTAGGGATGACAGTGGAGGGAGGTGGGAAGGAGGACTGAGGAAAAGTGGCTATGCAGGGTTTTGGAGCTGGGGAGGGCAGAGGATGAGTGCTGGGTCCCCACCCAGGGTTGGTGGCAGGAGGTGACAGGCAACACTAGAGTACCATCACCCTGCTCCCCCAACTTCTGCAGGTTCCTCAGTCATGGAGAAGGTGTGGTAGGGAAAGGATAACCATGGTGCCATGTATATCCCAAGAGTTGCCCAACGTGGTAGGTAACTGGGGAGAGGTGAGAACAATCCCTCCGACCCCCCAAAAGATAAGGTGAGATCCAACTCTTACACAACTCCGATTTTACCTAACAATCTAGGTTTTGGAAGCTAACCATGTCGATAAATGAGGAGTGGGAGTACCTCTTCTATGTTATTGTTAGGTGCTGTTGTGTCTGTTCTGACTCATAGCAACCCTACATATAACAGAACAAAACACTGCCCAGGCCTGCACCATCCTCACAATCATTGCTGTGTTTGAGCCCAGTGTTGCAGCCACTGTGTCAACCCATTCTGTAGCAAAATAACATTTCTGTTGTAAAATAATTTGTTTTTGTCATCTGACCATTTTTATTCATTACTTATTATTATAAAAAATTCCAAACATATACAAAAGTAGAAAAAAGTATACAGTAATGAACTCCCATGTGTTACTATCACCAGCTTTAAGAATGATCATTTCACATTTGGCCACTCCTATTTCATCTTTACTTTATCTCCTCTCCTTTCTTTTCCTCTTCCCTCACTAGATAATTCTGTATCCAATTCTAGTCATTCTATTATTTCAACCCATCCCCAAACATTTCAGTATGTATCTTTATAAAATAAAGGCACTTTAAAAAAGTGAATGATTAACATAAATTCTTTAAATATAAAAAAAACCTAGTCAGTCTTCAAATTTCTTTGATTGCTTTATGCTTTCTTTGCTTCAAAAGTTCATTTTATTGAACCACGAAACAAAGTCCACATTATTGTATTTCAATGAAACACCTCATAATTCTCTTTCAATCTAACATTTCTCCTTCATGCCTTGCATTTTGTTGAAAAACTGCAGCCTACAAATCTCCTGAAGTTTGGATTTTGCTGAATGCATCCCCATAGTGTTACGAAACATGACAGCAAGCTCTAAAGGCTTGATCAGTAAGACTGCTTTATAGATAGAACCTTTCGCATTATTAACTAACTTTTTAAAAATGTTCTTTTTCTGATTCCTTTAAAAAATTATTTCCTGTTTAGTCAGGTAGTATCTTAAGGATATCCCATGGCCTCTGAATTATCTAGTACATAAATATTCATGACAGGTGGCAGACAGTATCCTTTATCATTAAAATTGGTCCTTTTTAGACTTCGTAATGCTTTGCCTTGAGTTCTCCTGCCTATTACTAGCAACTCCTTCCTTTTTGTTTGTACTTGTCTGTTCTGTCTCTGTCCATCTTTTTATCATCATCCATACTTAGCTCTAGATGGTTCTCTTTATAGGGCATCATGTGACTAGGTTTTATTTTTTTGGCTTAACTCCCCCCCCAAACAAACAAACAAACAAACAAACAAAGATTTTCCTTTTAATTAATGTGTTTAATCCTATTATATTTACTGAAACTTGGTTCTGTCATCTTGCTTATGTTGGATTCTATTTTAAAAATAAAAGTTCTTTCTAATCTTTTGAAATATGCTCTATGCATTCTTTGTTTTGTGTTTTCCTCCTGATAACTGGTAGGTTTATAGTCTGATTTTAGTCCTGATAATAGCTGTATGTTGTATAATATATCTAAATCTTATAATGTCATCTTTATACAATTTCAATCGACTCTTCCATATGAAAGAGGGGAAAGTTAATGTATTCTTAAATTCTTTCTACTTCTCTGCCATCCAATTCTGATCAGTTACATTAATTAGTATTTTTTGTTCCTTGATTGGGTACTTTTATATCTCTTAAAGAGTATAATTAACGCTTTGATTTAACAGCTTTAAAGCATCTTTCAATCTCTGTACTAGCTTTTTAGGATTGCCATAAAAATTTACCAGAAACTGGGGTGGCTTACAACAGAAACTGAATCTCTCACAATTCTGGAGACTAGAAATCAGAAATCAAGGTGTTGGCCAGACCATGTTCTTGCTGAAGGCTGTAGGGAAAATCCTTCCTTGCCTTTTCCTAGCTTCTGATGACTTAAGGCAATCTTTGGGTGTTTCTTGGCCTGTAGCTGCATCATGCCAATCTCTATCTCTGTCTTCACATGGCCTTCTTTAGTTCCATTCAAGACAAACAGGAATTGGATGACGTGTTATAATGGGGAAAGGGTACACATGCAATGCCACAATGTCAGGAGCTAGGGCTCACCTGCTGAGATAAAAACCTGCTTTCTAAGTGCCTATGGACCATTTTATGGAGTCCTGGTATGGCGTTGTGTGTTAATGAACTAGACTGCAATGTCTGCTTGAACCAAAAGGTCAGCGGTTCAAGCTCACCAGCCGCTCCTTGGAAACCCTATACAGGGTCGCTATGGGTCAGGACTGACTCAACAACAACATGGACCATTTTGGGTCTACTTGCTCCTTGGTTCTGAGACATGGATCTTACTCTTCTCAGGTATATGTTAATGGTCCAAAGATATTATGTCAACCTTAAGCAGATAATGGCCCACTTACCTCCGTACAGGGTTTAAGAGACTTCTAAGGAGTCCTGGTGTGGCACTATAGGATAAGCATCAGACTGTTCATCGCAAGGTTGGCAGTTCAAATCCACCAGGTGTTCCTCAGAAATCCTATACAGGGTTGTTATGAGTTGGAACCAACTTGATGGTACTCAACAACAACAACAACAAGTATTCCAGGGAGTCTCCTCAGTGGCTTTCTCTGACATGCATGTGGCGAGTGCTGCTCCTCTTCCTTTGGTCACTTGCTGAAAGGTACACTGGCTGCCCAGATCCCCAAATCTCTGCATCTTCCCTCTTGTCCCACACAACATCCTCACCAAGGTCTACCCACTACTATGGAGTCAATTTCAATTCCTAGAGATCCTAACAGGGTTTCCAAGACTGTAAATCTTTATGGGAGCAGATAGCCTCAACTTCCCCCCATGGAGTGGCTGGTAGGTTTGAACTGCTAACCTCACAATTAGAAGTCCTGTGCTTATCCTATAGTGCCACCAAGGCTCCTTCACCAAGGCCTGGGAAGTACTCAACAGCTCTGGGAGCCATGCTCCACTCCCACAGGCCTTTATTCAGACCTCCACTCTTCACTAAGGTCACTGCTCAGTCTCTCTACTTCCAGGTTTCCTTTTCTGCAATTCATTCTTCTCACTGTAGTCAGAATAATCTTTCAAAATCATAAAACCAATCATGTGACTTTCATACTTAAAATATTCCACTAGGTTCCAATTAACTCTTGACTTGACCTGACCTCTCTGTCATGCTGCCCTTTTACAAGGCCCTGTGTGCAAGCTCCAGTCACCAGTAGGCCTCCACTCTTGCTGTCCCTTCTGCCTGGTGACCATCCTTCCACCACTTCTTTCTATTAAGTCAACTCTTCCGTGAGTGTGGATAAAAGCTTCCCCTAGTTCTCCAGGACAGGACTAGAGCAGCCACAGGATAAAGATTTGCTGAATGACTGACTGAAGGAACCAAGTATGATAAGACATAAGCAACCTGAGGCACCCACATGCCGAACCTTCATCATATATAACTCTGAACAGAACCCATCTATCAGACAGCCATCTGAGAAGGTTTCACAGATGTATGCTTCTATTTTAATGTGTTTTTAATGATTTTTGAATTGGTAAATATCTATTTTTTTATACAAAATTCATAAGGTAAAAAGTGATATTCAATAAAATCTGTCTCCCTCCTTCCTCCTCTGGCACCCTGGACTCTAGTTTTCCTTCCCCAAAACCAATAGTAACTGGTTTTCAGTGGTTCTTCCTTGGACAGTCTACGCATGTACAAGTATTCTGTATTTAGGAATGTACAGAATCACGTTTTCTGGGAGCTTCTCCCACTCTCAAAACCTTAAAACTGCTATCAACAAGGTCCCCCTGTGTGACCTAGTTGTGGTCACAGCACATAAGTTAAGGAACTCAAATGAAGAAGATTGCAGCACCTTGCTTATTCTATTTTTAAATGATTCCTCACGTCTTTCCTACTGTTTACAAGCTTTAACATGATATGGACCTTCCTTGTTCACAGTGCCAGGGAAGTCCCCTGAGGAAGGGGACACAGGTGGTAGTTGTGCTCTCATTCACATTTGGAAAGGTCACTTTTGAGGCTGCAGGGGAGGCAGGGAGACCAGTCTGAAGAACCTGCAGTCAGAACTCCATGGACTGGGACTCACAGGAAGTGACTGAGAGCCTCGAAACCAAGTAAGAAGAGGCCAAGAGGCCAAGAGGCCAGGACCAGAATGTGTCACAGTAGGTAAGCAGGTAGGATCCTCTAGAAGGCTCAGCACATTCCGGTGACAGGCAGGGTCCTGCAAAAAGTCCTTGAGATTCCTATAGGTGGAAGACAAGAGCAGTTGGGGTGGATCTTGCAGTGAGGAGCCAGGAAAGGCGAGTAAAGACCTATAAAAGCCTTTGGACTCTTGTTTGGTACATTTCTGGGCAAACAACTGTAGAGTCAGGCTAATGCAAACATGCTAATTCAAGCAGCACATAGGAGGGTCACAAGCACAGGCCAGGTCCACCCTCAAGAAGGCCTGGGCCTCTGACAGTCAGCTTGCCCAAAGTCCTGTCTATAGCATGAGTACCATGTGGAGAAATCCTTTGAGGTTGGAATTCTAGGTCAGGAATTGGGCAGAGAAAAGGGGCTTTGACTTGTAGGGAAACAAGCAAGAGGATTATCTCTAGCATTCCTTAGGCCAGCTAAGTAAACTGACACTTGCCAAGAGGAAATGCCATCTATGAAGCAGGTACGACAGTTATCTGGAGCACAGGGTGAAGAGGCTGGGGTGGGCAGTTTCATCTTGTTTGGGCCTGGAGCTTCCTTCTCTTCTGTAACAAGGAGTGGATGCCCAGGTTTGGCCGACAACTCACCAGATTGGGCTGTGACTAAGCAGGCAGCCTGACCTGGCACATTCCCAAGAGAAGAGAAACATCCTCAAGGGCTGTCAGATCATCCTAGGATTAAAGGCTTCTAGCAACCCAGTAGAACACAAAATTGACTTTTGTCTAGCTATGTTGTTGTTGATAAGGATTGTTGAGTTGATTCTGACCCACAGAGACCATGTATAGGGTTTCCAAGGAGCAACTGGTGAGCTTGAACCACCAACCTTGCAGTTCAAATGACTTTGCAGTCTGAGGCCCACAGTGCCACACCAGGACTCCTTTGTCTATTTATAGCGGCCTTGGAGTCGGTTCTGACTCATAGCGACCCTGCATAGAGTTTGGGGGGCTATAAATCTTTACGGGAGCAGAAGGCCTCATCTTTCTCCTTGTGGAACAGCTGGCAGTTTCGAACGGCTGACCCTGAGATTAGCAACCCGATTTGTAACCACTATGTTACCAGAGCTCCTTTGTCTATCTACAGATACTTCTAAAAGCATGGCAAGGTGGTAAAATCTCTTCACTGCTTCAAGCCACTGTTAAGAGACTTGCTTGCTGTTTATGATGAAGATTGCTTCCAAGTCCTCAGATTTCTTTGGCACACATCATTTCAGTCCTGTAACACAGTTCTTTTCTCACTGTAGAATAATCCTTTATTGTTAAAAGCAAGAAATCAGGGAACCTGACTCATGAAGGGAGCAAAGACTTGGAAGTGCTTGTCTACTGATGGCAGAGCCCATCAACCAAGTAAGTGCTAGTGAGAATGCAGTCTGTGTTGGTAAAAGGGATCAGGCTAAAAGGGACTTTTCTCTTGGTTTGACCCAGGTTCATGGGCACTGAAGACAGAGCCCATCCCCAAGGCTCTTTTTTTCCAGGGCAGCCTGACCATCTGTGCTTGTCCCTTATGCAGAAAAGCAGATAGGATCTGAGGGCAGAAGTGCGAAGGAGTCCAAGATGGGCTTAGCAATAGTCACATGCTGGATAAAGGACTATGACGGGGAAAAGGGCATCAAACATGTAGGAGAGAAAGACAGGGTCTGGGGTTGGACAGTTCAGCAAAATCCTAGCTACAACTACTGGCTAGAACCAACAATAAGGCAAGAGGCAAACATTTCCTCCACTTTCCTTTCCACTGCTTTCTCTAAGTCAATTTCACTCCCGGTCTGAGCTCTGAATCCCATTTGCCCCCTCTTTAGGCTCCCACTCCATCGAGCCTTGGATTTCCCTCTAGCTCACAGGCTTTTGCTTCAGCAAATAAACCACAGACCTACCCACTACCACTGAGTTGATTCTGACTCATAGTGAGCCTACAGACAGCAGAACTGTTCCATAGCCTTTATGAGACTTCATACCCTTATGGAAGCAGATATCTCATCTTTCTTCTGTGGAGCGCCTGGTGGATTCAAACCACCAACCTTTTGGTTAGCAGCCTAGTGCTTAATCCACTACATCACCAAGGCTCCTTCCTCAGCAAATAAGGATGTGCAAATCTTTCCCTCTTGCAAATCATTCCCTTCTAGTGATCATCCCTCTTTTCTTCTTTGCATTGGCCTACACACCCTACAACAACATCCATGCTTGCTGGCTCTAGTGCCTAACTGGCCATCACTCCACTCAGACTTGGCTTTGGCCCACACCTCTCCACTCTGATTTTCCTGCAGAGGTTACAAGTGTCCTTCACACTGGCAAAGCCGCTGGATTTTTTTCTTTCCTTCCCTTGATATCCCTACAACAATCAACCCCAGAGAGCTCTCTGTATTTCCTTCTTCAGTGTCTGAGGCTGTTCTCTCTTCTGTTTCACCTCTAGTCTCCTGGGCTTTTCTCTCCCCACATTCCTGGCTTTTTGCTCTTTATAACTGCACACCTGGCTACTAGCTAATAGCAGCAACCACCTTGGCTTTGACCATAACTCCCAAACATGTATGTAAGGTCCTCCTAAGTTCTGAGTGCATATAGCCAAACATCTCCTGGGCCCCTCCTCTTCCATGTCCCCAGTCCCATCGAGAGCACACCATCTCAATCCTCTCCCCTCCTATGCTTTCTATTTCAAGGACAAGTACTACCAGCCTTCTCAATACTCCAAGCTAGAAACCCTGGAGTCACCAGTGTTGTTGTTAAGTGCTGCTGAGTGGGTTCCAATTCATAAGGACCCTGTATAGGGTTTCTGAGGAGTGGTTGACTTCCTCTACCCTCACGTCCCACAGCAATTCTGTCACCAGATCCACTTGACCCAACCTCCACATAATCTACCTAATCTCTGGCACATACTGTGGATGGGCCCATTCAATCTCCCTCTTTTGGAATGGAGTACCTGGAAGGCAACAGGCATCTCTGAAAACTGGATCTGAGGCTGCCTGGTGCAGCAGTCCATTACACACACTGTTCGCTTGAGTGGGCCAACCTCTTCCCCTGGGAAGCACCAAGCTAAACTGTGTCCCAAGACAACAGCTATGGAATGCTCTGTTATCCACTCCCTGTGGACCAGCAATGGGATCAGCAGGGCAAAACTGTGCTGGGTACATTAAGTTGTTTTCTGCCCTCTGATTTTTTTCTTGCTGGGCTGGCTCAGGAAGCCCAGACTCCAGGCATATCTCCTGACAACAATGAGTATTTCATACTGGAGGGAACTTTCTGGATCTCCAGGCACCATAGATAATATGACTAAAAAGTGCTGCTTTTGGAACTGCTAGGTGGCAGGACAAAGCAAGGTTGAGTACAATCTACAGAACAGGTGGATTTTTATGAATGTTATCAGAGAAGTGGAAAATTCCAATGTGCACTGGGGGAGTATTAAGGGAGACAGGTCCTGCTGGGCATACTCTGCCCACTGGGGACAGGAGAAGTACAAGTACATGAAGATCTTGCTGATCCAAACGCTGGAAAGACCTACTCACTGATATGAGCTAGAAGGGCAGGGCAGTCAGGCCCAGCTCAGTAGAGGCCTTACCATGGTGATTTGTTGCCATTAAGAGACAATCTCTTGGAAGAAGCTGGCCTCTCAAATATGATAAAAGTAAAATATGTCACAGTTTTCCCTGAACCAATTTTGTTTTAGATTTCAGAATGGTACGTAGGAACATGAAAAGTCTGTTCCATCCAAATACAATTTGAAATGCAGGCAGTAGAAAGTAAAGCATATTGCTTACCTTGTGAACATTGGTCAAGACATTTAGGAAAGAGAAATCTAGGAGGAAAAAGAGAGATATTTTAAAACCATTAATCTCAGAGTTGTCATTGCTTATTTTTCACAAAAATCTGAATATCACTGATGAGCAAGCTGACTTACTTGATGGGGGAAGCTACAAGTAACACTGAACATGAGGGAGAGCCATGACTAGTCAAAAGGATCCCCAATAAATAAAACATTTTTAATCTCAAAACAAAAGGTTCCCCAAGCCAGCAGCCCCTTGAAGTCCCCAGGTGGCCAGCTCTTGGTAGACTGGGATACTGGGGGCTGGGCCAGCTTGCCACACTGTAGGAGATGGGGGGAGAGAGAGCGCACTGGTCTTTTATGAAAGAGATACTGCTCTGATGAGAAATAGGAAATCTCAAGGGAAAATGAGAGGAATTACGTTCACCTGTCAGGAACCTTGAGTACCAGGTTGACACACTCCCTTTAGGTGTACTCGAATCCCAGTGCCACTTTAGTCTCATCCTTAACTCAAATAGAAACTGAGAGAAGGGAAATGGCTAACTAGGAAGTGAAGCAGGAGGTGGGGTGACTGATCCAAAGTGTGCTTAAGTTTAACAATGGCAGCACTGCAGCAAGCTCCAGATAAATCCTCAGTCTATTCTCAGTGGCTTAAAATCCCCACACCACCACAATATTCTTCCCAGGGAGAAAGCTAATACTATAGAGAGTAACTTCCTTTTATTGAGGTCCTACTCAACAGCATTTAACAACACCAACACTGTGGATTTGGCACTGGACAAGCACTTAACATCTGGTTCCATCCTCATATCCATCCTGTATACTTAACGAATGAGAAGAGTGGGAGTGGGTTTAGGATAGATAAACAGGCTACACTTTTTCAGAAGGTCTCACACATATACAGCAACTCAGGTATGCTTAGCACCATACAGCTACGGTTTCTTGCCCCGAAAGTAGGATGCTTGCTGAAGTCACCCATCTGAATTGTTGCTGGTCTAGCTGGTAAGTATCAATGCTGCTTAAAATACTGGGGGAATTGCTAGCGGGAATGTAAAATGGTGCATTCACTGTGGTGAACAGTTTGGTGGTCCTTACAGAGTTAAACACAGAATAATCATTCTGACTCATAGCAACTTTATGCACACCAGAATGAAACACTGCCCATTCCTATGGCATCCTCACAACTGTTGCTATCTTTGAGCCCACTGTTGCTGCCATAATATCTTCTTTTTTGTTGACCTTCTACTCTATCAAGCATGTTGTCCTTCTCCAGGGACTGATCCCTTCTGATAACATGCTCAAAGTATGTAAGACTAAGTCTCACCATCCTTGTTTCTACGAGCATTCTGGCTGTACTTCTTCCAAGACAGATTTGTTTGTTCTTCTGGCAGTCCATGGAACTTTCAATATTCTTCTCCAGTACCAACTTTCTGATGCATATGAGGCAACTGAAAATATCGTAGCTTGGGTTAGGTGTACCTCAGTCCTCAAACTAACATCTTTACTCTTGAACATTTTAACGAGGTTTGTTGGAGCAGACCTGCCTAATGCAGTATGTCGTTTAATTTACTGACTGTTGCATCCATGATTTAAACCTACCTATGAACATCTGATGGCCTGTTCTGCAGCAGGTCCCTGATCTTGTTCTGACTGATGATTTTGAGCTTATTTATCTTCTCTTTCCACAGATATAGTCAATTTGATTTCTATGTACTCTATCTGGTGAGGTTCAAGTGTACAGTTGCCATTTTTGTTGTTGAAAAAGGTATTTGCAACAAATAAGTTGTTAGTCTTACAAAATTCTGTCATGCAATCTACAGCTGTTGTTTCTATCACTGAGGCTGTATTTCCCAAATACTGATCCTTTTGTGTTTCCAGTTTTTGTGTTCTTATCACCAGTGATTATCAGTGTATCTTGGCTGCAGGTTTGATCAATTTCATACTACAGAAGTTGGTAAAAATCTTTAATTTCTTCATCTTTGCATTAGTGTTTGTTATATAAATTTGAATAATAGTTGTATTAAGTGGTCTTCCTTGTAAATGTTTGGTTATTATCTTATCACAGACAATACTCTACTTCAAGATAGATCTTGACATGCTTTTTTTTGATGATGGTTGTGATGCTATTCCTTTTCAATTTGTCATTCCTGCATGTATACATGTATATACCATAAAATGTCAATTGATATTCCACTAATCCAATACCATCTCTAAGGCAATGTCCATTTACAAGAGAAAACCACTTAAACGTTTTGCTATATATTTTCCTAGATGTTTTCTCTGTGTATAAAACAAATATCTTTAAATTGGTTTATATATATAAAGAACATAGTAGGAGGCTTCTCACTTTCTGATCTCAAAACCTACTACACAGTCATTGTAGTCAAAACAGGCTGGTATTGGTACAATGACAGACACATGAGCAATGGAACAGAATTGAGAACCCAGAAGTAAATCCATACTTGACCTATGACAAAAGACATAGTAAATGGGGAAGAGACAGTCTCTTCAACAAACGGTAGTGGCAAAACTGGAAATGTATTTGCAGAAGAATGAAACAAGACTCATATCTCACACCATATGCAAAAACAAACAATGTGGCTCAAAGACCTAAATGCAGATCCTAGAAACTATAAAGATCTTTAGTGAAAAAACAGGGACAAACTTAGGACCCTAATATATGGCATATACACTATCAAACACAGTTGAAAACACACAAACAGCAGAAGACAACACAGATGACTGAGAGCTCCTAAAAATGAAGACATTTAGGTACAGCAAAAGATTTCACCAAATGAATAAAAAGAGAACTCACAGACGGAAAATTTTTTGGCAATGATGCATCAGACTACTTGCTAAAATTTATAGAACACATCAACACCTCAACAAGAAAAAGACAAACAATCCAACTAGAAAATGGGCAGAGGACTTGAACAGATACTTCACCAAAGAAGACATAGGAAGATGAGAAACATATGAAGAAATATGATCATTAGCAATTATTGTTGTTGTTAAGTGCCATTAAATCAGTTCCAACTCTCAGAGACCCTGTATAGGGTTTGTGAGTGTTTAAAAATCTTTGCAGGAGTAGAAAGCCTCATCTTTTTCCTTTGGAGCAGCAGATGGGCTTGAACCACTAATGCTTTGGTTCAAAGTCCAGTGTTTATCCTATGGAGTCACAGCACTCCCACTTAGATACAAATCAAAACAAAAATGAAATATCATCTTACCTCAGCATTACAAACAAAATTAAAACAAACAAACAGAAAACAACAGATGCTGGCAAGGGTGTAGAGAGACGGGAACCTTCCTACACTGCTGGTGGGACTGTACAATGATGCAACTACTGTGCAAAATGGTATGGAGTATTCTCAAAAAGTTGCTTTATGACCCAGCAATCCCTCTACTTGGTATACATCTTCAAGAAATAAGAGTCATGGTATGAATAGATATATGCACATCTATGTTCATTGCAGCACTATTTACAATAGCAGAAAGATGGAGACAATCTAAATGCTCATCATCAGAAGAATGGTTAAACAAACTTGGGTACATACACAATGGAATACTATGCAATGCTGAGGAATCATGCTGAATCTGAGAAACATAACATGATGTTATGAGTGAAATGAGTCAATCACAAAAAGACAAATATTGTATGAGGTCACTGTTGTTAAGAAGTTATGAAAAGTTTTCATGTTAAAAGAAACATTCTATGATGGTTACCAGGGGTGGAAAGGAAGGGAAAAATATGTAGCTATATAGGAGCACGGGGGCTCCATATTATAAGCATTGGAGTACAAACTGAAAGGTTCATGGTTTGAGTCTGCTAGTTGCTCCACAGGGGAAAGATGAGGCTAAACAGGAAACCCTAAACAGATGGATAAATATGAGTCAGAACCAACTCGACAACAACAGAATATATTATACTATATACACACACACACATATACATACATACCTATACAAACACACACACACACATGGATGATTTTCCAAAAATAGATTACTAGGACTTCCTTCCAAGGCATCTCTGGGTAGATTCAAACTACCAATCTTCTGGTTAGCAGCCATCTGTATTAACCTTTTACACCACATAAGGATTCCTGCCTTGTAATAAATCACCCCAAAACTAAGTGACAATTTATTATTTTTCATGATTTTGTGGGTTGGCTTGGCAGTTCTTTTGGTCTAGGGCAGCTCATCTGTGACTAAATATCCAAAATGTACATGTGGGGTTCTAGCTAGAATGACAGTTATATCTGGGATTCCCGGGGCCTCTCTCTCCAAATGGTCTCTCATCCTCCAGCAGTTAAATTCAGGCTTCTTCATATAATGGTTTCAGCAAGGGGACAGGACTAACATGTAAGTGCTTTTCATGTCTCTGCTTGTTCATTTTCCTTATGTCCCATTGACCGAAACAAGTCACACAATCAAGTCCAAATTCAAAGAGTATGAAACAGACCACCAGTTTGACAGAAGGAAGAGATGCTTAAGCTGTGACCATTTTTTTGATGTATTAAAGTTGGTTGGTCACCTAGCCATTTTTTTTAATTGAATGGACTTAACTTTAATAATTTTCTATTCTTGAATTATCTATTTTATATGCACCATGGGAGAACCATTAAATTTTCAACAGAGCATTAGAAAACCACTACAAAAAATTACTTTCATGAAGGAATTCAGAAGAAAATTAGGAAATTTATCATCAATATCTAGAAAATGGGTAAATTTTGATTTGTTGACTTAGGCTTTTTGACATCCTAATATAAGTTGAAGCACTCTTTTAGTCAACAGTTATTTTGTGAGCACATAGTATGTATCAAGTATGCACAGAAATGGTTCTTGCACTCATAAAAGCTAAGTCTGTACTCTCTTTTTCTCACGTGGCATTCATTTCTTTGCCTATTTCCTCTTCACTTTATTTTCTCAAGCTTGATGTTCTTTGACAAAGACTCAAGTTACAGCAGTGTCTCTGTTACTTCAAATGAGATTCTCATTTCCACAGTGATTTTACTGCAAACTTTATTTTCTTTCTAGAGTTCTGAAGTTCATTTTCCATCAATTTTTGTTAGCTCCGTTTTCCTCTGATTGTTAAAAATTTAACAGCTTTGTTGAAGTATAATCTGTATATCATGAAATTCACTCATTTAATGTGTACAACTCAATGATATTTATAGTAAATCCAGAGTTACGTAATCATCATTTTATATATATGTTGTTGTTGTTGTTATGTGCCATGGAGTCGGTTCCGACTCATAGCGACCCTGCACAGGGTTTCCGAGGCTGTTAATCTTTACGGGAGCAGAACGCCTCATCGTTCTCCCACGGAGCAGCTAGCAGTTTCGAACTGCTGACCTTGTGGTTCTCAGCTTGATTTGTAACCACTATGCTACCAGTGGTATATATATATATATATAGACAGATAGACAGATAGATATAGATATAGATAGATAGATAGATAGATATAGATATGGACTCCTGGTGTGGTGCTGCAGGAGCAACACTGGACTGAGAGCCACAAGGTCGGCTATTCAAACCCACCAGCTGCTCCTCGGAAACTCTAAACAGGGTTGCTATGAGTTGGAACCAACTCAATAGCACTTAACAACAACACAATGACCAACTTATGGTGACCTTGTACAGGGTTTCCAAGGAGCAGCTGGTAGGTTTGAACTGCCTATAGCACCACATAAAATGTTTATATGCCAATCTTGGAAAAAGGATACAAAATACATATACCACAGTATAAAAAATTCCAGAAAGAAATTCACAAAAATTGTAATAGTTACATTGAATTGGTAAAACTGTGGGTGAATTATAACCCAATTTTCTTTGCTGCTGCTATATTACTTCCAAAGTGACACTCATTCTATCAGAAGTGTGAATAAATGTCATTAACTGAGATAAGATGGTTTAACAACATGAGAAAATATTTGTGAGATACTCTAAAGGCCTTGAGACAAGATCCCTCCCCTGAGTAAAGAGGAAAAGACAGTCATGCAACCATCTTTTCTGAGAGAATCTATTCCAAGTCCCACTGTCCTAGATGGACAACTTTACAGTGCACAAAAGGAAGGTGCTAGTCTAAATGGGTCTTTTGAGAACCTCACACTAGTGGAAGAATAATTAACCATCGATTACATACAAGGTATACTGATGCATCCCTAACAGAAACACACTATAAAGATGTTTCCTTCTGGTGAGTGGGAGAAAATTCTCTTTCTATATATGTCAATACACATCCTGTGGGCTGGAAGTAGTCCTAAGTATTACCTGTGCTCCATGTAGCAACTCAGGGGCTCCACACATACTGTGATAGCACCAATGGTGAAGGAGGACTTGACAGTTGAGTCTGGATGGGTCTGCAGGGCCTGGACAACATCAATAACATCTGTATAGCTGGGGGAAAAAAAGGGAATGATTAGAGGCTGATTGGGAAAAGAGAGGCACACTGTATGGTTGAGTGAGCAAGGGTGGAAGGAAAACCAAAAGGCAAAGCCTGTTGCTGGGTTACTTGCTTCTCTCCTGTGTGACCTCACATTATGATTTAGAGCCCCTGAAGTCTACACACAATTCTCCATTCCAGAGTTCCTGTACTCTTCATAACTGTGCAAGTTATGAGTACAAGAGCCATATCCTCTATGTCTAAAGGAAACCTGTAGGTAACCCTGGGTCTCCGAGGTTGGGACTCACAGTCCTACTTAGGTCTTTTTTTGAAATCAAGTTAGAAACTCCTGCCTTGGCCTCTACTTTCTTTAATAGCTCTTTCCTCTTTTCAACTCACAGAACACACAGGCAAGTGAGAAAAGGGAAATCATCAGGTACCTCTGCAGATCAGCAGATAAATGTCAAATACCATTCGCATTCGTATCTCTTGCCTGGACTCCCTCCAAACTCCAGATACACAGATCCAATTTGATATTCTTCACTTAGAACCTAATATTTTCATGACCCATGCCTACTGCTTTCCCAAGACTTTGTCCCTCTCTCAAGGGGATTCTATTCTTTCAGTTGCTAGATCAAAAGATTGGCTTAATCTTATTTGACTCCATTTTCTCTCTTGTTTCACAAGTCTAATCCATCAGCATATTCTGCCATCTTTATCTTCAAAATATAATTAGAATAGACTTACTGCTCATATTCCCACAGCTACCTCTTGGTCCTGACTGTACGTCTCTTGAGATCAATCCAATAGCCTTTTTACTGGCTTCCCTGCTAACTTTGCCTCGCTTCAATCTGTTTTCAGCACAGAAGCCAGAAGAAGCCTCTAAATCTACAGTCAGAACATGTCACTCTTTTGCTCAAAATCCTTTAGGGGGGGCTCCACCCTTTTAGGAAAGTCAAAGCCCTCCTGATGACCCACACAGCTCTCTGTGAACAGACTCCCATAAAACAGGGGAAGGGCTCATTTCCTTCCAATCTTTCCCTGAGTCTACTCTGAGCTGTTCCCTGAACACTCCAGGCATGCTCCTACCTTTGCAATCACTGTTCCTCTGCCTGCAATGTTCTTCCTCAGAACACGGCTTGCTCTCTCTGCTCAAATTGCCTTTTAGGAGACAGGCGTTCTATGCTCCCTATGTGAAACAGCAGCCCTCCCTTTCTTGCTTTCTACTTACACCCCGCTAACTTTGCTCCACAGCACTGATTATCTGCTAGTTGTGCTGTACTCATTTATTTGCTTATTGTCTTTCCCCCAGTGAGAATGTAAGGCGACTGCTCAGTGCTGTAATCTTTGGTGCCTGAAGCATGGTAGATTAATGAATTGGGCATTCAACCCAAGTAGGCCCCTGGTTGTTCTAAGAGGGAGTCCATCCTCTTCATATTGTGGAGAACATTTTTCCAGTTGACCCAAAACATCTGATCCTATGGAAGGAATGCAAACTGGATAAAGAGGCTTGCTGATCAGGTGGGCCTAGTTCCTAACCTGTGCCCTTGGCAGGCCAGTGGGTGGAAGGATAGGTATGGCCTAAGCCATACACTGAGTTTCTACAAACAACTCATCTACAATGTTTACCGACTTCCTCTCCAGGTCAGAGAAACTTGGTAGTGCTATGGTTAAGCACTAGGCTGCTAAATGAAAGGTCGATGATTCGAAACTACCAGCCACTCTGTCAGGGACAAAGATATGGCAGTCTACTTTCAGAAAAACATACAGCCTTAGAAAGCCCATGGGTACTTCTACTTTATTGTATAGGGTCACTAGGAGTTGACAGCAGTGGCTTTTTTTTTTTGGTTCTGACCAACCAGTAGTGCTTCTGTAAAGAACAGAATGTGTCCTGGATTCTCAAACAGGCTTCTCCTCGTGCACAGGCATGTGTGTGTGACCATGTGAGGCTCTTTCCCCTAACTCTGCAGTGCCTAGTTGGGCCTGGGTGCCAGAAAAGCGCCCCACACGAACACACTGCCCAGCACTAGATAAGCTGCATGAATAAGCTCTTCTTGCTCCCTGATGATGCTTCATAGAGTCAACATGATTAAGTGCCACAGGGTTGCTCCTTAGCATTCATTAGCTTTTGTCCTCTTCTTTAAAAAAACAAAACTATTTGGGGCCTTTCATTTTACAAGTTCAGTATAAGAGTATACACTCTCATTTCTTAGTGTAGTACAAAGACACGCTTTGGTCAATTTAATACAATTAATTTGAGGTTGGTCAATTTAATACAATAGGCTTCTCCTTAGAAAAGATGGAAAAGGTTACAGTGAAATCAGACCCCAGGCTCACCCATGAGAGGCCAATGCATCTGGACACTGCAGCCAGAAGCCTATGGGCAGCAAGAGGAGGCACACAGCCATTCAGTCTACTCATTAAGAGGGAGCCCAAAAGGGAATGTATAATGGTATAGTCACTATGGAAAACAACTTGGTAGTTCCTCAAAGAGCTAAGCACAGAATTACCATGTTTGTTGTTGTTGTTAAGTGCCATTGAGTTGATGCCAACCCATAGCAACCCTGTATAGGGTTTCCAAGGAGCAGCTGGTGAGCTTGAACCACCGACCCTGCAGTTCAAACAACTTTGCAGTCTGATGCATTAATCCACAGTGCCACACCAGAATTACCATATGACCCAGAATTCCACTCCTAAGTATATACTGAAAAGGTCTGAAAGGAGGAATTCAAACAGATACTTGTAAACCAATATTCACAGCAGCATTAAGCACATTAGCCAAAAGGTATAAACAATTCAAGTATCTATGAATAGATGAATGAATAAACAAAATGTGGTACCATACCTACAATGGCTTATTACTCAGCCATAAAGAGAAACAAAAATCTGATACATGTTATGACATGTATGAACCTTGAAAACATCATGTTGAGTGAAAGAAAAGTCAGCCACAAAAGGACAAATATTATATAATCTCACTTATATGAAATATCTGGAGCCCTGGTATGATGCTGTGAGTTAGTGCGCTGGACTGCAGAGTCGGTGTGAACTGCAAGGTTGGCAGTTCAAGCTCACCAGTCTCTCCTCAGAACCCTACACAGGGTCGCTATGGGTTGGAACTGACTCGACAGCACTTATAAACACACAGAGATAAGAGTTTATTAGTGGTTAACAAGGGCAGGGAGGAAGGGTAACTAGGGAGTTACAGAAGAAATTCCTGATTGGGGCAATGAAAAACTTTTGGAAATGGACTGTGGTGATGTTAGCATAGCCTGGCAAATATAATTAATGAAACTGAATTGTATAATTTAAAATGGTAACCTTTTTGTTACATATATCTTAACATAATTAAAAAAAATAAAAAACATTCATGGGAAAGAATCTAAAGGTCAAAAACAAAGAGGAAGCCTCTACTCTACCCTGCTTTCTTCAGCAGCCCCTACTGTATCAACAGCATCATGGGGTCACGGGCAGGGTGGCTGGGTGGGGGCAGTTTGCCTCCATATTGTGGGGGGTGGGGGAGGCAGGCCTCAGCACACAAGGAAGCACTACCCTCCAGTTGCCAGTTTGTGTCCAGCCGTTTTGGCTAACCTGCCCCTATTTTATGATTCAGGCAAAACACTGGTTTTTCTTGTTTGCCTGTTTCAGCACTCTTTATTAAAAATAAAAACAAAAAACAAACCCAAACAAAACTCAGCAAGACACTACCTTTCTTTCCTCTGAAACAACAGAGGTTCCATTCACGTCTCCTTTGGGCTGTTTTATGTTTGCAATTTAAGCCTATTACTTGATTGGGCACATATTTGACATTAATTCAATTTCTTTTTTGAGAGATATTCGCTTTTTAGTGTAAATCATTTAAAAGACTATTTTAAAACACTCCATGGTAACAACAAATACAATAAAACAGCCAAATCTGTTGCTAGTGAGTCAATTCTAACTCATGGATGCTCCATGTACAGTTCTCCACCAAACAATTCCTTAAAATGAATGTTTTCAAATTCAGATTTCCTCAGTTTTATTTATATTCATTTGTATGTATATCTGTGTGTACACTGCTGTTGTTAAGTGCCATAGAGTCAGTTCCGACCCACAGTGACCCAGTATAGGGTTTCCGAGGAGCAGCTGGTGAGCTTGAGCCACCGACCTTGCAGTTCAAACAGCTTTGTAATCTGGCGCATTAACCCATAGCGCCATACCAGGACTTAAGTCTATATAATTTCATTGCCTGTGTATATTCCTATAAGGCACTCTGGTGGTGCTGTGGATTAAGTGTTGGGCTGCTAATCAGAAGGTTAGCTGTTCAAGTCCACCAGTCCCTCCATGGGAGAAAGAAGAGGCTGTCTTGTTCTTGTACGGATTTCCAGTCTCAGACATGACAGGAAGCAGTTCTACTGTCCTAATAAGGCCACTACGAGTTGGAATCAACTTGGCAACTGTATCCACCACCACAATCAAGATACTAAATAGTCCTAACACCCTTATACTGCCCTTTAAAACCACACTCACTTCCTGACCCCCATCTCTAAACTCCACTGTGGTACCTTGAATTTACTGGATACGATGTCTTAATTTCTCTTCTACCAAGTGATTGGGTTGTTGTTGTTGTTGTTGTTAAGTGCCTTCGAGTCGGATAGGACCATGCAAATAAGGTATACAGGGCTTTAAGGTTGGGATTGGTTAGCTTTGCCTTCCAGCTTGGTTTAAAAGGAGTCATCTCAGAAGCAGAGACTGAAAATCCTAGGACCATCAAGAAGGAAGAGCATGATTGGAGCATGAGATCCCTACCTAGGGAAACAGCAGAGACAGAGATGATGGCAGAGGCAGCGGCATGGAGAGACGGAGCAGCTGTGGACTCTAGGCCCATGGGTTGCGACAGAGATCAAGGGGATAAATGGCTGAGAGGCTGAAGACAAAGAGTGAGGTGAGCCTGCAGTATGGCACACAAGAGGCGTTCCTGACTAGAGAACTGCTTCCCCCCAAGTTGGCTTTGATCCTGAATTGTTTCCTGTTCACTTCCCTAATAAATCCTATAATCGTGAGCCTTACTATGAGTTTTTTGTGGCCACTGCAATGGATTATTGAACCCAGATGTGAAGCAGAGTGTTGTGGAAGGGATGGCTGATATCAGAGTAGGGTTAAAGAAGGTTGTAGAGTGGAAGCACGTCTGACCTCCATCTCATAGGAATCTGCTGATTTTGAGTTTGAGTCTCTTTCCCCTTTGTGAAGCCAGGGGAAGTCAAGACATGGCTCCCACAGGGTTTTTGAACTCACAATCAATGCTCATGGGAGCGGCAGTCAAGAAATCAAATGACATACTGCATTACACAAATCGGCTGCACAAGAGTTCTTTAAAGTGTTCCAGAGGAAACATCAGTTTGAGAACTAAGGTGCAACTAACCCAAGTCAAACTAACCCAAATGAAGTTGAGCTTTGAATAAGGAAAACTGTAAAAAAGTCGATGCATTTGAATCATGATGTCAGAGAAAAATATTAAAAGTACCATGGACTGCCAGAAGCACAAACAAATCTGTGTTGGAAGAAAGAAGTACAGCCAGAATGCCCCTTAGAAGACAGGACCGTATTGAAAAAAAAAGAAGCCAGGATAGTGAGACTTCGTCTGTCATACTTTGGACATGTTATCAGGAGGGATCATTCCCTGCAGAAGGATATCCTGCTTGTTAAAGTGATCCAATGAGATGGACTGACACAGGCAGCAATAACAGGCTCAAGCGTAACAACTGTAATGATAGTGCAGGACCAGGCAGTGTTCTGTTCTGTAGTGTATAGGGCTGTGCTACGAGTCGGAAACGACTCGACTAACAACAACAGCATCTCTAACCCCCACAACCACTCATCTGGCCTCCATTTCTCAATTTTTTTTCATCTCAAAATTGATTCAAATATACTGATTCAAATTTTTTTTAAACAACAGCTACACTTGATGTCAAGCTCAACATCACGTCCCACACTGCTGCAGAATGTCAAATAGAACAGAGCTAGTCTTGGGGCAAACAAAAGTCTACCCTGTACCTCAGGTTTCCCCCAAAAGAATTCTACAAATGATGATTAGAGCCACATTCAGGGAGTAAAATTAGAAATTTGTGAAGCCTTTGGGGTCTTCTGCAGCAATAATTTCAATAATGAGTTAGAAAGTTCAGCCCCAAGGAGACAGACCTGTTACAAAGTAGGCTGCCCCAGGCTCCTGCTGAACCCTAAGACAGTGGGTCCAGCCTGGACACGCTTCAGGGAGGAGTCATAGCATTCAGCTGACAGTCTGACTCGAGTCCTTCAGGACATCTGAGGTCCCAGGGTCCTGAGGCTGAGGCTGGGCAAAGGCTGGCAATGAGAGTACAAGAGTGGGCTGGTCATAAACTGTCCTTGTAGTCCAGAAGCAGCTGCGTCAGCTGACACTTCTGCAGATTGGTAAAGTCAGAGATGAGGGATTAAGAATGCCCCTGGAAGTAAAGGAAGATGGAAATGACCTCAGCTACACATTATCAAGCTGCCAAATCCACTTCTAGGTCCACATTCCCAATTCTGGCAGGAGCAGGTGGTGATGAAGCTGAGCCAACCTATTCCTTTGACCATTAGAAGTGATGGAAAATCAAAATAAAACAAGTGGTTTCTTTTTCCTCTGTGGCTTTGCAACCTTGGCCCATAAGTAGGACTAAAGGGCTAAAAGAAGGGAAGCCTGAGGTAGGGTGGGAGAATAAGGGCTGAGGAAAATGAATGATGGCCTAGCAGGGTGCACAGTCCCACTACCTGTCACACCTTCTTCCTTTGGACCACTGGCCCAGTTTTGCTCCAGTTCTCATCACCACACCCAGGAGACTAAACAGGGCTTTGGATCTGGGCCCATTCTTTACTGGAAGCAGCTAACCAATCGCAAATGCTAATTATTATGAGCACAAAAAAAACACAGCATAGCACAAAAGTACTTTATGAGGACTGTCAAAAGTGTCTTTATTATTACTACTTATCATAATGACATGATTGAAAAGCATAGTCCATGTTTTCTCTGACCTGGCAAGTTCCCCTCTAGACTTGGGGTGGTAACTGACCTGCATGGGACTCCTCCCTTAAAATAGGCAACGGAAGCCCCCTACTGCTGGGGTCCTGGGAGCCATGCTACCACTCTGTCAAACCTGCCCTCCCATGTCTCACGCCCATAATTCTGTGCACACAGGAACTTTAATAGTTGCACACACAATCATGAAAGGACACATTCTCACTCCACCAAACCATTCACACCCCTCACTGAAGGTCTGAGGAAACCCTCCCACACCAGCCATCCCAGAGACAATGTGGACGGAGGTGGCAGAGTATAGAGCCATCTCTGCAATTCTACAGGAGGAAGGACTGAGTGAGACACAAGCCACCTTATCTAGATGCTGAAGGAAGAGGTCCAAGGGTCACTATTGTTACCAGAATTAGCAAAAAAAACCTCCTCCCCAGTTTCCCGTCTTTAAGCCAAACTTTAAAGTTGTATGCAAGCTACACCAGTCACTCTTGTTGGATGACAACAGGAAGTCTTTGGTCAATTAGACACTGCCAAGCTCCTATGTAGTTTGCTCTGTGCCCCAGGTTTGCGACACATGACAGATTCATAAAGACAAGCTCACCACTCCCATGCCACTGTCCCCATAGACTTCTAATGCTCACCCTTGTAACACCACCAGCAATCTGGTCTTCTTGCGGGTGAAGGCTGACTGGCGGGCAGAGCGGTTCTGCTGGGCCTCCCAGGCACTGGAAAGGTACCTCTGGAAGTGGGCAGCATGAAAACATTCGGAGCTGTCCATGAGCTGGCGGTATACCATCCACCTGGAAATAGCAAATGCAATCTCAGCGGCGGACCACCTGATGGTCTGGCCCTATAGACTAAGCCAGTTCTCACTAGTGTACTCAAATGTGACTAGTACACTCTCCCAGTCTTTGTGCCCAGTGAATCTGTATAGGAGACAGCAATCCTGGCACTTCAGAAAAAGATGGAGGGCCTTGGCTGGCTGAGAGCTCAGGATTCACTATCTGATAAGAACCCTGGCCACAGGGAAAGAGGTCAGGCAAACACATGACCAACAGACTTCAGAGAGGAGAAAGACTCCTTCTGACCAGGCAGCTACTTCCTGAACGACCATTCCATAAAATGACTTCAGAGCTATGAATATGAAGTTGTCAAGGTGAAGAATTCAGAACGTTTATAGAACAACAAAAAAAGAGCTCAGGTGGAGCACTGGGTAAGTGTGTTCAGCTGCTAACCAAAAGGCAGGTACATCAAAACCACCAACTGCTCTGAGGGAGAAAGGTCTGGTTACCTTTTTATTATTAAGAAAACCTATAGGGCAGTTCAACTGTTATCTGAGTACACTATGAGCCAGAATCAACTTGATGGCACCCAACAAAAACAATATAGAACAAACGCACTGTGAATGAAAAATTGATCACTTAGTACTTACTAAATACTGATACTTCCCTAGCATCTCTCCAAAACTTGCCCATGCCGGCAATCTCCTAACCCATTAGGCAATTTTACTCTTCTCAATTCCTTTATAAGAACAGGATGCCTTATGTTGGATTGGACTGAGACAATAAATGCCCGGTTTAGACAGCAAGGTTGTTTTTTTTTTTTTTAGCAATTTGCCAACTGGGTGGAAGTGGTGGATGAATGACTTTCCCATGAGCTCACATGTCCCAGCTTCACCTGAGCTCAGTTTCCTTGTGGCCCTGGAAGGATCACTGCACCTACCAGCTCCATTTCCCTGCTGACCAGGCACTCTCTCAGGCTTTTGCATTTGCTGGTCCTGCTGTTAAATATGCTTTCCTTTCAGACATACACAGGTCACTGCTCAAATGTCATTTTCTTGGTGTGGTCTTTGCTGATTGTGCAATTCAGTAATAGAATCCCACTCCTATACTTCCTAGTCTTCCCTGGCTAATATACGAATACTATGTTTTGCATATCCAGTTCCTTATATGCCTTCTCAGTGTAAGCTCCATGAGGGCAGAGATATTTTTGTGTATTTTGGTCACTGATGTATCCCCCACACTTAGAACAGTACCTAGCAGGCAGAGAATGCTCAGTGCAATGTATTAAATGAATGGTAGACAGAGAGCGGATGGATGGCCACTGTGCTGATACGATGACACCAAAGGTCAATACAGGTAGCCCCCGCTTGAGAATGTTCATCTTATGCCACTTCACTTTTATAAGTACCTGTTTTTGCTAACTGAAAGAAATCCTAAGAGAATTTCTCTTTTATAAAAAAAGGTGAGAAGCTAGCCTTGAGCGTTTGTTTTGTAGTGAGCCATTAAAAAGGCAGCACATATCCCAAGCAGCAAGAGCAGCGTTGTAGACTCAGCATCAACCTATCACAGGGTTTTTTGTTTTTCAAAAATTATTATTATTTTTTTAAATTTAATTTTTACCTTCAAACTGTCTGTGAACACTATATGTTAGTGTTATTTTAGGCGTTACTTGTTATTTAGTATGACTTGGTAGGTTATCTTGTGTTTGGCAATACTCACAAAAATTTTCCATATACATAAATGGTAATTGATTCTTCACTTTATGTCATTTCGGCTTATGAAAGGTTTCAAAAGAACACTCTGCTCTTGGATAGCAGGGGGACCTGTACATGTATAGGATTTCCCAATCCTAGGCCCAGGCACAGAATTCCTCTCCCCAAAGCAAAGGCAGCAGCCATACTAACCTGCCATATTCCTTATGCAGTGTGACCAGAAAAGCAGAGAGCTCGCTAGCATGACAGCCTGGGAGGCCGGTTACAATGTTGATAATTACCTACATGAAAGAAACATGACATGGGTTTGCAGTTCAAGTGAGAGGCAGCACTGTCTTAAGAGAACTGACTCTGGATCTAGGCACTGTGGCTTTGAACCTCAGCACCACAATTTAGTAGTTATGTGATCTTGGCTAAAGATAGAACCTACTTTGGAGGGTGGATACGATGAGGAGCTGAATTAGTAATATATGTAAAATGCTTACTTAGAACAGGGCCTGGCACATAGCAAACACTATGTACCCACATAATGCTACTATCAGAATTTCTAAAGAGCTGGATTTCAGCAGGTTGTGAAAAAATCAGTTAAAATACAGTGCATTCAAAAGCTTAACTGCTTGAGATCACAAATATTTTTTGTAGATGTGATAGTCAACAATAACAGGACTTACTTTTAACAGTAACACTGATGAAAATATTGGGTGAGAAGGAGGTCTGGTATGAAAATGCCACAAGCATTTGTTAAATTCTCCAAAGGAGAGGGCTGGCACCAAGGATACTTGTCTGGCTGCCTGTGCCCTCCAAGCCACGTGCCTGGGGCTAAGTCATAACAATCAGGTGGGGGAAAGACTTGGGATTCTTGAGAAAGGAGTCAGGCTGGATTGTCCTAACTTCATTTACTTTTTGACCACAACCATATGAAAACAAGTTGCTCTTCAGGTAGATATTCCAAAGCAATTTGAAGAAATTTGCTGAAGTGGAGGAGTCAAGCAAGGGAGGGTATCAAGCAGGTAATCACTGAAGGATGTACGTATGTGACAGAGCATGGCAACAGGCCTCTAAGTATGTGTTTTATCCCACAATATACAAGACTCCCTGGGACACTTCTAGTCACCGATTACTTGTGCTAAAACTAAGTTGGGTGGCACTTGCCATTAGAATTGGTTGCATCAGCACAAAGATGGCCAGAGATCCCTCACTTTGGGAACCAGAAGCTTTGTCCTCACAGACCATGATCCCTACTCTGTGTCCCTTTCTGGCCCCTTGAGTATACTCCATGCAACTGACTTTTGGTTTTCCCTCTTCCCAGCCAAATGCTTCATTTTTCGTTCCTATTCCTCAGTGGTTAGGTCTTAGCCCCTTATGTCACAATATGCCTGTTCACAGCCAGATGTCTTTTTACTTTAAGGTCAGTCCAATAGTACCTTTTTTAGTAAAATATAACAAACAGATATTTTCAAAAAGATGCTTCTCATTTCTCAGAGCTTCCATTGTCGTTTACAGCTGAGTATCTTCAAGATTTGCACAGAAATAAATACCCTCCTTAAGTATATTATAACAGATGGTTCCAAAGGAATGGTGGGGGTCAAGAGGAGGCAAGTGTGAAGCAGGAGCAGATTAATAAAGTTCACTCTTGGGAAGAGAATGTTTGTAAACTATCACCTTACCCTAGAGATGCCAGCAAGGCCCATACAACACAGGCTCCCTCCCTCTTATTAAGCACAATGTGTCAACCACTGCCAGGTAAGTCCTTGTCACAAACCTCAAAGAGCTGATGGCATGGGAGAACTGCGCAAGAGTTTAAAAGACCTAGAGAAGTAAGGGTCGCTATGGGTCGGAACCGACTCGAAGGCACTTAACAACAACAACAACAAAGAGAAGTAAGGGGAGGGCAGGGCAACATGCTCAGGTTGTATCATTGTTATGGAGCTTGGCTAGCTTTAACGTAGATGCCTACACACAGTCATTGTACAGAGCAGGTTTCATGTGTAGCATTACATCTGTATCCAAGGAGGGGGAGTCTTAAGGGAACTCCATCTGAGCTCCTTTTGTTAATGGACACAAAAGACCCAAAAGTAGGCTCTCAGGATTATCTTCCTGTGAATTCCCAGTATATTTGGTGAGTTTCTCTACCTTGTCATTTTCCACTCTGAAAGGAGAGTTGATTTCAGCTTGCTGCAGCAGGACAGGAAGATGGGCCCTCATTACAGGTTCCTGACTAACACTGCTGACTGCAAAATGCTGGAGAAACCTAGAAAAACAAAGACAATGCTATTACATTACCTTCACCAGTACCACCTGAATATGCCCATCCACATGAGGAAGTTCTTACTTAATTGCTGAAAAATAAACCTTAGATTCTCTCTGGAGAAAAATACCTTATACAGTGAGTGTGTCACTAATACTTTTACCATGACCCCCAAGTCATAAAGAAAGAGGTATTTAGAAAGGACCACTTTGAGGTTTCTGGCATTCGAAATGCTACTGAAAAACAGAAAACCAGAGCTCACCAGTCCAGCTCTGGGAGTTTGGCAGAGAGTAGCTTGAGAGGACTCCATTTTTCGCCAGCTGGATGGTTGAGGGCACTGAAGAGCTTCTGTGCGTTGGAGTGTCTGCAAGATCAGAAGCTCACAGATGAGAGTTCTAATAGCTCACATACTTTATCCATATTGTGTTTCTGATGCTTTCAAGCCTGAGGCCCATGAGTTCTCCCAAACACGTATCTCACTGACTTAGACAAAATGTGGTGTTAAAATTGATAGGCCATGGAGGGAATTGCAATCAATGTAATGAAATGAAGAATGTAGTTTGTTGAATGTAAAATTGATGATCTGCTCTGTAAGCCTTCACTCAATTCACTCAGTTGTTGTTGTTAAGTGGCATCGAGTCGGTTCCGACTCATAGCCATCCTATACAGGGTTTCCACGGAGAGGCTGGTGAGTTTGAACCACCAATCTTGTGGTTCAAACCAACCTTGCAGTCTAGTGCTTTATCCCACAGCACCACACCAGGACTCCAATTCACAATAAAAAGTTAAAAAAAAAAAAGAAAGAAAGAAAGAAAGAGAGAGACTACTATTAAAACCAGATGACAGATGATGCTCGCTTGAACTAGTAGAGGAAAGGTGGTCAGAGTCGAGGTGCCTTTTGATTAGATTAGTTGTGGATTGTGAAAAACATCATGCATGGCATGGCCTTCTGTCTCCCTTAAAATCTATTTTGTCTTAAAGTTTGTTTTGCCTGATATTGATACAGCTATATTGCATTAAAAAAAAAAGTGGTGTTAATACATCACAACTCTGGGCTAATTATTTCCAGAGTAGAGATTATTTCCTTTGCCCCTCTCTAGCACCCTGGTATGGAGAGTGGTCACGACTGAGGCCTGGCATTGTGCCAGCTGAGCTGATGTGTTCACATAGGAAGGTTGGCCTGAAACCCCTTGGGGTTCTGATTCTTTGGCTGATTTCATCTGTCTTGCTTTCTATGTCACCACGGCAGAGGCCCCTGCAAATTGACAGCACTAAAATGACTGTGTTGGCCCTTTTAGAAGCCCAAGCCCCTGTGTTACATAACACAAATTATCCTGTAGGGAGAGCACACACACAAAGCTCAGAGAAACAAGCATAAACACTGGAGGCAGCCACTTACAATCTCCTTTGTTCCACAGATAATCCATCTTCCTGGATCACTTTTAAAGAGAGCCCTGAGTTAGCCTGCTGTTGCCAGGGGGAGAAGACCTAAACAAAACAGAATTTGAGCAAAGAACACTTTAAACCCAACAACAGGATATGAAACCCACATGGGGATTTGATGGTTGTTGAAAATCTAGATAGTCAGTGCAGAGAAAAATCATTACAACAAACAAGCTTGCTTCAAAAACAGGGACTAGGAACAATTTTGTTCTGTATTTTTCAAAATCAGACTTAGCTTCTGGGTTCCTCACCTCAGGGATTCTGCTCCTTCAGAGGTCAGGAGACACAGAAGAAGATATCAGTTAACAGTGTTCTGGCAACAGGGGAATTTTATACCCTGGTGATAGGGCTAGACAGAAATGGCTCAAATAGTAGGGATATGGTTGAAAAGAATCTAACGGATTGCTCTCTCAGTTTCCAGATTGAAAGCACAACCACAAGGAGGTTGGAAGGACCAGAAAGCAGAAAGGAAAGGAAGATGTCATCTGGGTTTGAGAGGCAACTTTGTAGCCAAGGGCAGGCTCTTGTCTCTTCCAAGAGATTCTGCCCTGAGGGAAGGCACCATCCCCTTACAAGCTGCTGTAATCATACCTTTCCAAGTATTTTCACTTGTCACCAAGCTGGCCAACTTTTTCAGTTTGGTTACTGGTTGGTCTCTAAGGATCTTATAAGTCTTGGTAAGCTTCCTCACTCATGCAAGACTGTGCTGAGTACCTATTAGGTGCAGCCTGCCAGGTAGAACCACCGATGAGAACAGTGTGAACCACAAGGAAGGAGAGCATGGGGTGGGGTAGAGAGCTCTGCTCCAGTGGATAGGGCCCTACAACTCTATAAAGCAACTAGAAAGGAAAATGAGTCTAAGTTGGATTTAAAGGGGACAAAGAAGAACTTTTTAAAATGCTAAAAAGCCTTTTGTTTAGTTCCTTTAGGCTCTCACCCCTCCCTGACAAGAACACAATTCTAGGACCTGAAGGGATTACAAACTTCCTCCACCAATCCTCTCAATTCTGTCATCACCTCATTGTTAGTCCTGAGACATTGCCTCATCATCTAAATTGCTAGGGAAAAACAACAGTAGTTGTTTTGCTGAATAATGACTGATGTTACCTGTGAGTAAAATGTTTGGTATATCTTTGATCTGGGGAAAAGGGCAATCATCAGAAAATTGCTTGATCCATGGAACTGAACTGGAAGATGAGGCCGCAAGGAGCTTTTGAAGTCTATCAGGAGGACAGCAACAACACTGGTGGAGTCCTAAACAGACAGAGAAGGAGTGTCAGTGAGAGAAGCTGTTTATACAGTATCATGGAAAAGGGGCACTAAGAATTCCACTTTCATGTCCAACTCCTGATTTAGCATCAGATCAATTGTTGTTAAATGCTGCTGAGTCCTCTGCTGCGGTGACATAGAAAGCAAGACAGATGAAATCATAGAGAACCTGTATCGGGTTTCTGAGGACTGACTGGTGAGTTTGAACCACCGACCTTGTGGTTCAAACCCACATTGTAGTCCTGTGCTTAACCTATAACAACACCACATAGCAAGTAAAAAATAAAGTGTAGGAGAGAGAATGCTGTGAAAGAGATGAAGCTGACCTCAGGGAGCATCTGAAATAATAGTCTTTAAAGCTTTCCAGCCCTGGGTCTTCTGACATGAGCTAAATAAAGGCAGGCTTGGTCTCAGGGTACTGAATCTTATCCAGACAGAGTGGGCCAAACCTGCTGCCACTCTATGTGGATGAGATTCTGGAGCACCTTAGGACTAGTTTTCCAGGGCCCTGTTAGTGTCGGGTGTTCCAAACGTCTGACGAAAGTTGACCACCAACAGAAAGGGGTGAACAGATGACACTTGTCACTGCAGAGTGGGATATATTCCAATAACTCGCTTTACCTAAATCCCAGGTGGACCAGTTTTCTGGTTCAGAGGGCGCCTTCTGTTCAGCACCCACAGGGGCAAAGACATTCCTTGTGATCATCCTCTCCATGGCAGAGCACAAGCCTCCCACTATCCGCATCCCTTGAGGAAGTCACTCCACTCCCAGCTCCCGAGGGAGTGGTACAGAGAAGAGCTCATCCCAGTGTTCCCATCAATTAGTATTCCTATAATGCTCAATGGAGGGACGCAGCTCTCAGAATTATCTAAAGGCTAACAGTGTACACTAACTAAACAGTTACACTATTCCAGATGTTATAAAAAGCTAACCCTTAATATCAAGCCTCCAGGTCAGCAGGGAACCAGGTACCTTGATCACATATGTACTCATGCACACACACACACATCCTATAGAATTGTTTTGTAAATTGTGCTTTCATTTGATGTCAGTCTACACTGAAGACTAAAATAAAACGAAACTCCTATGCACCTCAGAAACCCTATACAGGGTTGCTATGCGTCGGAACCGACTCAACGGCACTTAACAGCAACAATGCCTCTCACTGCTGAGTCTCCTGGGTGGGCTGAATTGCCATAGGTGCCTGGAGGAAGCCTTTGTTCTTCTGAAGAACCCCAGCACCTAGAGCAGTCCAGGTGCCCCTAGATTCAGGATGTTGCCTCCTTGGAGAGCGAGAGCACTCTTCTGAGTACCAGGCAGTTGAAGCTATTAGATGGACATCCTTTAGGGATGTCAGAATATAGGAGACAACAGAAATGGCTGAAACCTAGGAATGTCAGAGGCAATGTGCTTTGCTGCTACCCGCCCTAGAAGGCTCATCCCATTCCTGCACATGCAGCAAAACCCAAGTGCTGTGGGTGGGTTACCATGCTCACCTCCTTGTGGGAGGGCTGTGAGGACATCTCCTGTCCATCTGGGATACTCATGCTTGGGCTAAGTCAGGCTTAACCTGATGGGGCCCAGCTGATTGCTTGCCAGTTGAGGTGGGCTCTGACCCAGCAGCACAATCAGCCAGAGGTCAGGGCAGGGGGTGCCGACTATCCCAACCCAAGTTGGAAATAGCCAAGGGTTGTGATAAGGGTTTAATCTTTCTCAAGTGGTTCCTCAAGCCATCAGAGCACATGCCTCTCTTCTTTTCCCCTCATAAGGCATTTTGGTTTTCTTTCTTAACACCAACTTTCCATTATAAAAATAACATGTTTGTTAAATAAACATTTGAAAATATAAAACTAGGAAAGAGTAAAAGATTTTAAAAAATCAATCAAAAGTCTTATCACCTAAACCCAACTACAGCTAACATTTTATTACTTTTCCTTCTAGTCTTTTTTCTATACATTCATTGATTTGCCTTTTCTATACAGTAGAAAATCCTATTTAGTTTTGCAATTCCATATTCTGCTTTTTAAACTTAATTTATCATTATTGTTGCTACGTACTGTTGAGTTGGTTCCCATGGAGACCCCATGTACAAAAGAACACTGCCAGGCCCTGTGCCATGAGCATTTGCCATATTATTTGGGTACACACTATTTGTAAACATTTCACACTACTCTCTTAGCATAGCTGCACAGTCACATACCTACTTCATTTCTCTTGTGCCAACTGGAGCTTTTATTTACTCTTTGTTAATTTGCAGTTACACTTGTGATATGAGATTGTTTTGGATTTGTTTCAAAACAATTAATGGGAAAATTCTATTATCTTTTAATGTCATTCTTCCATGAAGCCCCCTAGCATATATGTCACCTACCCTCCTTGTCCTCAGAACATCCCTGAACTGAAACTCAGTATTTCCATGTTAACAAGTCTTCATATTTCTCTTTGTAGAAACGAAATATTAACTTGTTTGTTTTAATTGCCAGAAATGTTTTTCCTAGTTTATATTTTGTGCCTTTTGATTCTCTTTTTGAAATACTTTTTAAGACATTTTAAATGATCAAGAATCTGATTAATTTTATGGTTTATCTATACCAGGGGTGGGGAAACTTTTTTCTGCCAAGATTTGTAACATTATTCATGGGCCATACAAAATTATAAACTTAAAAAGACTCTTTAGTCTACTACTAAGACTTTTATCATATAGAGCCAACCAATCTGTCAGGTTGGCTGCCCTGCCCTTTTGATTAGCCTTTTGATTAGGCTCTATGTGGAAGAAATACTTGCTCACAGGATTTGTTTTTAGAGCATTCCATCTTACCTAGTCCTTGTCCTGGCTCCCAACCAGGTTGACTGGGAGGCTGAGACCAGACAGAGTGGAGAACTGCCCTTTGCTCTTGTGGTTCACTGAGACACGTTGTGCCCTGGCCAGGGGGTTCAGGTGAGGGGAAACTCATACCCCGCCTCCAAGGGGAAATGGTCAAGTTAAAGGCTGGTTATAGGGAATGGAGCTTTCTTGTAGCTGATGGTAATGCTGAGTAGGTAAGGAAGGTAGGGTTAAGTCCTCAGGAAAAGTTAGTAATTTCTCTCCTCCTTTGGCTTACTTACAGTCCTTTCCCTTGCTGATAGTGATGGCTAAGTGGAATCCCATCAATGCAGCTTTTAAGTTCTTAAGTGGGTGAGCATTTGTGTCCTTGGGCTGAAAGCCATCAGTGAAGGGCCACTGGAGGTCTTCCTAATCCCTTTTATAATAAATGAACTAGGCATAGGTAGCTACCAGTCCCCCTGACCCCAAAGTCCTTTCTAGCTAAGCTGCTGGCAGAGCTGAGAGACTAACATGGCTTGAGGATGCCCAGGCCTGTCTGACTTACTTCCCTGCCTGCCTGCTTCAAGGGCAGTGCTGATTCCTAAAGTCTTGCCTCGTGGTGTTAGTAGGAAGATGGGAAGTTATCTGGTTTTTCCTCTCAGAAGAACATCTTTTCTGAACACCAAAATCATGGATTGGTAAAACACCTACCCCATCATAGAACGAAATGGAATTCATGTAATTCTTGGAAATGATGATACTTCCATGATGACGATGAAAAACCACAAGGCCACTAGAAAAGAAATGCACTTTCCCTGGAAGGCAAAGAGACATGGTTAGAGCTGGAGGGCTAGATCCTTGGGTCTAAATCCCAGTGTGCTTCTCACAAGTACCAGGTCAGGTCAGAGGGTAACCAGAGACCAGCATCGGTACCACTGAAGTTACATGGTTATCTACATGCTCTGGGGAAGCCAATGCATTCTCTCAGGGCTTCAGAGAGGTATGAGGTATCAGACACAATCTTTATATACGATTTAAAAAAACGAGTGAATAAATTCACACTCTCTTAAAGGTATCTTCCAAGGAAACATGCTAAAAAAAAATGGCTTGGGCATGCCTGTTCCATTATTGAGTTTATAATATACTCCTTTTTCCTGCCTTGGCAGATGCTGGCTTCACTCTAAAGTAGGAGTGGGGAACCTTTTTTCTGCCAAGGGCCATTTGGGTATTTATAATATAATTTGCGGGCCATACAAAATGATTGACTTAAAAATTAGCCTGCTGCATGTGGTCTGGCTGATGACCACACTGGTCACTGATTGGGAGAAGAGGGGGAAAAACAGCAATGAAGGTGGGAGCTAAGTCCGACCACATTCAATAAACTCCTGTGAACCCAGGTGGAGACCTGGCTGGCCAACAGTATGGCAAGACCCAGGGACTCCTGGGCCCAGAGTAAGTGACATGGCCACAGAAGACTAGAGCGGAGAGCAAAGCGTCCAGCTGATATGAAGTGAGGGGAGATGCACAAGAATACCCATACTTGTAGATAGTACCCACTTGACCTGGCTTCAATGGCTGGATGATCAGAACTCGACTAGAAGAAGAAAGAAGAGGGGAAAAAAAGAGTAACCCTCTACAATTCGATGAACTTTACCTATACTTATGGATATAGCAGCTCATAAAAGGGAACAAATCTTTACAGTGAGGATCACTCCCACCCCATCGGTACACAGGGTTGACAGGGATGGGCAACTTAGACACTGGCTACCCAAAATGGGTGGGCTACAAAGGCAAGAAGTGGCTGGCTTACAAGCTTTCAAGAGGGAGCCTAGTTTCAGACAGGGTAGGGGAAGGTAGAATCTCCCTCCAGTGAATGATTTCCAACCTGTTGGGACGGGACTAATGAAAGGAGATGGGGGTAAGACTCATGCGGTACAATAGTGAATAATTACTATCAGAACTGACTGTGAGGATCAGAAATGTAAAGGTAGATGTTTTGTAACAAAAAGAGAGGGATGGCTGATTTTGCAGTCCAGGAGCAGAGGTCCCTCGGACCATCAAGTGAGAAAAGCGGAGTGCGGGACCCTACCCAGAGAAGCAGTGATGCCAGAAATGGAGGCAGAGATGATGTGGACAGTTGGAGCGGCTGGGGACACTGGACTCAGGGAGGGAGAGAGGCTGTGTGCCAACGGCCCGCGGGGCAGGCCTGTGGGGTGTACCCTTTGGTTGTTTGATAATGCATGAACAGGACTGTAATCACTGCAATGAAATGAAATATGATAGGATGAATGTAAAACTGATGTTCTCCCATGTAAACCCACATAATTCACAATAAAAACTGGTAGTGTAGTGGTTATGAATCGGGCTGTGAACTGCAAGGTCAGCAGTTCGAAATTACCTTCTGCTCCACAGGAGAAAGATAAGGCTTTCTGCTCTCGTAAAGATTTACAGCCTTGGAAACCCTGTACAGGGTCGCAATGAGTCAACCAACTCCACAGCACATAACCACCACCACCACCAATGGAGTCCTGGTGTGGCGCTGTGGGTTAATGTGCCAAACTGCAAAGATGTTTGAACTTCAAGGTCGGCAGTTCAAGCTCACTAGCAGCTCCTCGGCAACCCTATACAGGGTTGCTATGGGTCGGAACCAACTTGACAGCACTTAACAACAACAACAATGTTGTGGCTGGAACTGCAGTTGCTTTGGCAGGGCCAGACCAAATGATTTTGCAGGCCTCATACAATCTGCCACGCCAGGAGTCTTGTAGTGACATTGTTGGTTAATTAATGTGCTGGACTACAAAGTCGGCTGGAACCACAAGGCTGGTGGTTCAAGTTCACCAGCTGCTCCTCGGAAACCCTATACAGAGTTACTATGGGTCGGAACCAACTCAACGGCACTTAACAACAACAACAACACAACCTGTGGGCTGGATGTTCCCCGCCCCTGGTCTATAGCATTCCATCATCCTTGTAGCTACCTCACTCCCAAAACATGGTCCTCTGATGTCACTGAGCTTTCAAAATCTTTGGCTAGCCATTCTCACCTACTGATCAAAACAATCTGACTTTCTTCTCAATCAATTACCTTTGCCAGTGTTTACTAAGCACTAGGAGTCCTGGTGTGGCACTGCAGGATAAGCACTAGACTGTAAGGTCAGTGGTTCAAATTCACCAGCTGCTCCTTGGAAACCCCATTAGGTTGCAATGAGTAGGAAATGACTCGATGGCACTTAACAACAATTAAGCACAACGTATGTCACATACATCATGTTTTTCAGTCCTCATAATAGTCTTAAGAGGTGGTATTAATCTTGTAGAACTGCTAAGGAAGCTTGAGTTTAGAGAGGTATCACCCAAAGTCACACAGGCTACTTGGTGGGGAGCCGGGTGAAGGACTGCTAAAACTGTGTGGGAGCCAGACCACTTCTCCTGGCCTTACAAGGGGAAAGAGAATCAAACTCAAAATCAGTCCAAGGTTGATTTCGATGAAGTGGAGGTCAGACATGCTTCCACTCTACAACCTTCTTCAGCCCAGTCTGACACCAAGCATACCTCCCACATCACTTTCTGCTTCACATCTGGATTCGATAATCTATTGCAATGGTCACACAGAACTCATAACAATACTCACAATTATGGGGTTTGTTAGGGAAGTGAACAGGGTACAATTCAGGATCAAAACCAACTCAGGATGCAGCAGTTCTCCAGTCAGGAACGCCTCTTATCTGCCATACTGCAGGCACACCTCACTCTTGTTTTTGGCCTCTCAGCTATGTGGTCCTTTGGCCTCTGCCCCACTAGGGCAAGTGATAGTGATACGAAACTCTTTTAGCCAGGCTGTGAATGCCCAAAGGGCACATTCTGTAAGCCAGTCACTTGCTTGTAGGTATGCAACTGTATTCAGTTCATAAGCCTAGAGCTGGAAGCCCCATGCCACCACCTCTGCTGTTGTCTCTGCCGCAGCCTCTGTCATTGCCTCTTGCCATCAACTTTTGATGTCTCATGCCCTTCTTTGTTGTTTTTGTTTGTTTTATTTATTTTTTAATGTTTTATTGTGAATTATGTGATAGTTTACATGGGAGAACATTAGTTTTACATTCATCCTATTGTATATCGTTTCACTGCCATGGTTACAATCCCCTTCAAGCATCATCAGCCAATTAAGCCTGCCCCCGGTCATCAGCACACAGCCCCTCTCCCTCTCTGTGTCTAAAGTCCCCATCATGCTCTTCTTTCTTGATGGTCTGGGGATCTTCCTTCTTCCTTTCCTGACATGGCTCCTTTTAAATTGAACTGGAGGGCAAATCCCAGCCTTAGAATCCTGTATACCTATTTGCACAGTCCTGGTGTGGCTCTGTGGGATAACGCCCTGGACCACAAGGTCATTTGAACCTCAGGGTTGGTGGTTCAAACTTATCAGCCACTCCTCAGAAACCCTATACAGGGTTCTATGAATTGGAACCAACTTGATCGCACTTAACACACCACTATCACCACTCAATCACTTGGTGGGAATAGAAAAGCCACATCAAGTAAATTTAGGGCACAGCAAGGACCCAGATTTGTCTGATGCCAAAGGTATTGTACCATGCTGACCTCCTTTGGTCCTCTTGCCCTTTTTTCCATCTCTTTCCCCTCTGTGGGTAATGTAACACAGTACCGTCTCTGTTCCTCAACCTCAACAGGTCCACAGTGCTGCCCACCAGTTCTTCCACTGCTGGTGCCCTAACAGGGTAAGTTCTGCCTTTCCTTCTCCCTTCTGTGAATCTGAACACCCAGGGTAAGAGGAAGCTCCCTATCACTTTGTCTTTGATTGACCTTTCTATCTTAGGAAGTCCAACTGGAAAGGGATGAACTGTAAGGGCCAAACAAGATGCCACATACCAATGAAGAATGTGACTTTTCCTCTTTCAGACAACAAGCTGCACAAATAGAAACCCTCCGACAGTCCTGCCTGTGTGAACAGGGAATGTTCATCACTGCTCAGGAAATGTCATGATTCAATAGCTATAAAACTTTCATTCTGTGTGCATGAAAGTATATGGAATGTACACAAGATAGTGTGTGAAACCTTCTTACCTACAACCACACATCTTGAGGGAATGAGTCAAGGTCAACCGGCATAACATAATCCAAATAGACAATGTTTTACATTGTACTTTGGTGAGTAACGACTGGGGTCTTAAGAGCTTATGAGCGACATCTAAGGTGCAACTATCTGTGTCTCCCTGTCTGGAGCAAAGAAGAGTGAAGGAAATCAAAGACACATGGAAACAATTAGTCCAATGGACTAAGTGAAATCCAGCCAGAAGAACTAGATGGTGCCTATCTAACACTGTCACTCACTCTGAAAGCAATCACAATAGGACGTCCTGGGAACAGGGGAAGAAAAATGTAAAACAAAACTCAAATTCATCTAAAGGACCAGGTTTACTGGTCTGATAGAGACTTGTGGCACCCCAGAGACCATTATCTCTTAGAAACCCTTCAAACTGGAAATAAACTCACCTCAATGGCTCAATTTTCAGCCAAATAATAACCAGGCCTATTAGGTGAGTAACACTCCTTGAAACATTCAGCCACAGGAAATCATTTATCAAGGGATAAAGATCAGTAGGCAGAAAGGAGTAGGAAAGAAGAATGAATGAAAATGGTAAATACAGAGAGGAAGTGGGAAGGGTATTGTAGGGGCTGCAATCAATGTCACAAAACAAAATGTGTAGACAGAAACCCAATTTGTTTTGTAAATTTTCTCCCAAATTACAACAAAAATCTAAAAAAAGGCAAGAAAAAGCACTGTATAGTCTGTAAA